CACCGAATTATGGAAAAACAGACATCAAGCAGCAAAAGTCATAGCTGTACCCTTAATCATAATGTTCACTCTTAAAAAGACAATGAACAAGTACTACAAAAAAGATAACATGAAATCAATTTATAGTTCACGATGTTTAATGTTTGAAACATTACAAAGGTTTACAAAAATTCTAATCACTACAATAACAAACTTAACAAATCGATTTGTGCAGACCTGTAAGTATGAAAGAGCTTCAGACCGAAATAAGTGTAACGTGATACACGTCAGTGGTCACACATGACTCAATAAGAGTTAATGTAACTGAAACAACAATATTATACTTGTTGAATCACATAGCATTCAAAATGCAAGGAGGCCTTGTCCATGTAATAAGGCAGATGAGAAAATAAGGTGTAAAAGTAAAAGAGGCGCTTGGATAAAAAGTTTATATAAAAATACTTGTAAGTATTCTAAACAACAATAGCGTTTATTGATACCCGCATTTTAAAAATGGTTTTGTTCGATCACAGAATATTTCACTGATTCTGCTTTCTTCGTGGATGCGAGTGGCTGCTTTCCATCTCTAAGCATGGATATCTGTGAACTGAAGACAATGCATTATGATTCAAAATTGTTTTTCAAGAAATAAAAAAATCTTACAAGTCAAGAAATTCCCTTTTTTGTTTACCAAAATCACACTTAACTGTCATCAATATTTTATATTTGTATAAAGACAAGAAAACCCCCACACAGCCTCATATACTAGGCTCACTGTAACACAGAGCATTGTGGTTAAAATTCTCATTAATTGAAAACTTGTTCACTTTTTCACTGACAGGGGGTTTGTATTCAGGTTGCACAGATCTCAGTAGTCACTATAAGCTTACCACAAGACACAGTTCTGAACATACATCTTTTGACAGTTTGAAAAACTTACACTACAGGAAATACTTAACGAGGTATGTATTTACTTTTCAACATAATACTAATATTAATAAGAGAATATTCTACACACTCTGCCATCACAAGGCTCATAATATAGTAAAAACCCTTGCCATCAAAGGCAAAGGCATTTGGGGGAAAATCCAAAGAAACTGGGCAGTAAACATCACCGATCGGCGAGATGTGACGACAAAGTGTTAAATCATTCTTTGTAGCCTAAACAGACAGTGGCATCAGGTGAAATGTAGAGGGTGGGATTTGCTGAGACCAAACATGAGGTTGCGCAGATTATTGTAGATGTGTAATGACTGAAAAGCCATTCCAAAATGCATATAAAAAGTCAACTTGATAATATGAACAGATTCGAATGTCATTGGCAAACCACATTTGTCCCCCATCCACCGTCTTGGGTACTAGTGCCACAGAAAAAAGCTGGAGGGGGTGGGATGGGGTGCTGGAAGGTGTAGCGGTATGCTAATGAGAATCTGTTTAACCAGTCTCCACTTTGGTCTGGAGCCACATGTCTCACAGTGTGTGGACCCAGCTGTCACCCTGGTGTGAACTTGCACTGTTTATCAGAGACAAGACAAATCGGTTTTTTTATATTCAGTTTAAGAAAACTTATTATTGGAGTTTCATGATACACCAATAAAATTTCATTCTCCCTTCATTTAAAAAAATACAGCGCATGCAGTTTTTACAATTTTATAGTAGATAATCCCCCCCCCCCCCCCCCCCTGAATATTGTTATCAAGAAAACAAACTTTTTTTGCAAACATCCCAAGTAAACATTTTGTAAGAATACAATTTGGAATAACTTCTTTGTCATCTGTAAAGCAAATGTTGCTTTACAGGTATCAACATTCAGTTTTTTGGCTCTCCTGTAAAATTGTAAAAACTGGACACAGAGTATTTTTCAAAATGACGGCAGAGTTGTTGTAAATAGTACAAGTAGCCTATGTAAGATACACCCAGACCAATCTGATTGCTCTCTGAGTTATACCTATAATTTCGCTTGGGTTTTCTTGGCACCATGCTTTTTTTCAGAATACATTTTGTTCATTTTATTACTTTTGTTAAATGTTCTGTTTGGATTTTAGTCAGCCATAGCAGCTTGTGGTGAAGATGTCAAGGTGGGGCATAACACTTTGCTTCCCCGGGACACCTATCGGCGACAGTAAGAAGCCGCCCCTTTTCCCCATGGGACCCCGGCCGGCGACAGTGTGGTATAGCAACAAAAACGTTGTAAGTAATAATCTCGTTTTTGACACGTGTTCTTATTAAAGTTAATATTTCCTTTCGGAATGGTTTGTGTGGCCTTTGAGGTAAAAAAATCTGAGCGTATACAACATTTGGTGTAAATTTCTTTGAAAAATGTTGAGTAGATCTAGCAGTGCTGTTTTACTCTTACGCCATGATGAGAATTTGGGTGATGAATGAGTTAGATCTAATGTTTTCAGTTCCAATCCTAATTCCTTTTTTGGTGAACATGTGATCATCACTTTTAATTTTCTCAGAAGGTATGCTGAAATTTTGATAATGGTTGGGGTATTTTTGCCGAGATACAGGTGTAGTACTGATGTACTGCATCTGTCTCCTGATCCGTGGGAACAAGTGTTGTGCGCTCTGCGCGCTATGTGGGTGGAAAGAATTAAGCTGCAATTCACACCCTTACAGAAGCCACAGTAATCAAAGAGAAGCAAGTTCAGTCTGACAAAATGAGCACCAATCATTCAAATAAATGTAATTAGCAAGCATACTTTCTAAAGAAAGTGTTTGAAATGTAATGCTTTTATAAGCGCAATGTAGATAATTTTGAAAGGGAGCCCAAAACGGTCCCCATATTAGGCACATAGAAACAGACTAGGATTGATGAGAACAGCACCTTCGAGGACACATTAACCTTCAATTTCCGCGAGGTGGAATGATTAGATGGTAACTTCCTACACAAACAGCAGGCTGCTTTCAAGGTCAAATCGTATGTCTCCAAATCCAATGATTGTTTTTATAACACAAAAGCTTAAGGAGTGATGTCCAAAAAGTTGAAAATGCCCAGAAAGTATCTCAGCATACCATCGCATCTAGGATACAACTTTTCACCTAAAAATCAGTGATCCCTGAGAAACAAGGAAGAGGAGGACGAGGAGCTAAAGGCAAGAGCAGTGACTGCGCACTTGAAAAAAAAACGGATGTGATCTCAACAAACCAATATTTGTATGACTTGTATGGCGGGATAATGAGATTGAGACTATTCATGATGAGATTAGAGACCTTTCAAGAGTGACAACGGAAAGTTTTTGTTATTAATGGAAAATTAATAATAAAAAAATGATGCATGATTGTTGCCAAGAAAAAGGTGGTGTGGCTTATCCAATGAATATATGTGTGTCGGGATTCGGTGGAATCAGGCGCTCACCAATTTTTGGGCAAATGGAGTTATTTATAAAATCTTAAATCTTGTTCATTTGTTTTACATTTGGTGAAAAAAAATACTCATTTAACTTGAATAGAAGTTGAGATATTTGCAATTGAAGGAGGAGGGGGTCGCCTGGTTCCAGAGGTAAAATTAACAAGAAAATGGCCACCAAAATTTGTTCACTTACATAACTTGAGAGTCCTTGGAAACAGAAAATTAAAATTTTTGTGTGCCTTTAATCAATCTTTTTCCAGTTATTTCCCCACAGAAATTTCTTTTCAATGTCTTTTCTGCTGTTGAGAAAGAACACAAATATTCGAGAAAAAAAAAAGCCAAACAGGCTGAAGTGCCTGTTTCTTCGATAACATTTTTTGATGAGTGCCTGATTTCACCACGATGTCTCACATAGTATATTGAAATTTTGGATTTAAAGTCTAGTTGCGTCTTATCTGTATATGTGTCCTATATGCGATGATGTACAGTAAATAGAAATGTATAAGGACATGTCAAACAATTCTTCTATATACCATACTCATATAAAGTCTTAAATCAAGGTTCGAAAGAAGTTTATAAGTTAACTCCAATTCATTTTAAAAGTATGCACATAGTAAGAATACAACAAGATACTATCATTAGATTTACAATATTTAAGTAAATGAACTGTAACAAAAGAACATGAAATCAAATAATGACCAAATTACATAAATGATATCGCAAAACTGTAAGTTAGACTCAGTCTCTCTCTCCTCTCCCACACACTCACACACAGACACACACACACACACACTCACACTCACATACATATATAAAACATGATCACTTATACAAGAAGGTAAAGAAGCAGTAATTTCCGGTAAATTTCTCAGAAATATGTTGAATGTGTTGAAAACAGAATGTCTTACTCTTAAAACTGTTTTACCTCCACGGGACGCCGATCGGCAACGGTTCGATATAGCAAGAAAAATGTTGCAGCAATGATCTCCTTTTTGACATGTGCACTTGTTAAAGTTATAATTTCATTTACGAATTGGTTTGTGTGGCCTTTGAGGGCAGAAATCAGTTTGTTTACCATAATTGGAGTAAATTTTCCTGAAAAATATTGAGTGGACTTGGCATGAGTGCTTCACACTTATGCCATGATGAAAATTCCTGTGATGAATGTGCTAGATCTTATGTTTTCAGTTCTGATTCTAATTCCTTTTTTTGTGAAAATGAGATCATCACGTTCAATTTTCTCAATATGCATTGAGACACAGGTATAGAACTGAGGTACTGCATCTGCATCCTGGTACGGGGGGACAAGTGTTGTTTTTAGTTTTTAGTTTTAGCAGAGGTTTTACCGTGCTCGCAACTGCATAAGGTCATATGAGCACCATGGGGTGGATGTTAACACAGAAGTCCTTACAGAGAATTGGGGTTGCTCTGCTCACCTCTCTAGATTCAACAGCACAAAGTCTGCTTCGACTATCAAGAGAGGGACAAACATACTAAAGAAGTAGAAGAAATATGACGATAGTGAAGATTAGGAAAGAAAAAGCAGCAGTTCCCTGTTGCAGTTCAAGCACAGTTATGAACCTGACATTGATGAATCAGTCCATTTACAATTCTACAGTGCATAAGAATGGCCTAAAGACACTTCAGTTAGTAACATGCCCCAGGGGGTGACGGGTGGTGCATTTTGTTTGCTGTGTGGGTGGTAAGTGTAAATATTCTTGAAAATAGTTGGTTAGTTATTAAAATGTTTTAAGTATACATGACAATGTAGTTAAAATTTGTTCCATTTTCCATGTTTGAATCACATAATGTATCATAACAACAAAATTCAATACAATTGCAAAACAACAAAATTGAATTATGGTGAAGAGAAATAAGGAAAAAGTGAAACATTTTGGTCCTTCTCCTTTCAACCAAGAAGAACATAGGTAATTTAGGATTAAACAGTTCAATACATTAAGAAATCCCCGCTTTTCAGCACAAAAAATTAGTTTAAAAACCAATAATTCAGTACTTCACAGAGGAGTTATAATGATATATCTATATCTATATCTATATATCTATATATCTATATCTATATCTATATCTATATCTATATATATATATATATATATATATATAAAAAAAAAAAAATATATATATATATATATATATATATATATATATAATATGTATGTATATACAAACACATATTAATCAATAACCGAATATATATAATATGTATGTATATACATACACATATTAATCAATAAACGAAACTATGATTTTTCGTTTTGCTGTCAAAATGACCAATATGTATAGTTGCATTTTTAGCAGAAATGCACTATATCCAAAACTATGAAAAATATCATTTTGAGTAGATATAAGCTCGTATATAGAAAGATACAGCCCTGAATCCAAAGGTAAAAATTAAATAGCAATGTTAATGCACCCGCACCCTCCCAATCACAGATACATAATATACTCATTGACAGTAATAGACTGTTACATATTTGAATATAGGATTACTCACGCAAATAGTAATAACAACATTCACGATTGACCATATTATTTGAAAATAAATTTACACACACAAATACTGATAACAACATTACATTCTTGATTGACCATATTATATGAAAATAGATTTACGCACAAATACTGCTATCCACATTCTCAATTGACCATGGAAAAAATGCTGAAACAGCTAGATTAGAATGTATGAATGCAATGTTTTACCAGATAAGGGCTGTGCAATAAGAGCTAAGGGCATTTGCAACTACTGAATAGTAGGTGTGTAATGCCATGCCGAATAAAAAATATTTAAACACTTTTTAAGCCTAGTAATTTGATATGTTGCTCATGAAAACTTCTCACTGTTTACTGATGGAACCTCACTAACTCAAATTTTGGCGTAAATCAATTTTATCACCAAAAGATTCCTGATACCTTGATGGATGCACAATGAATATAAATATCAAATTTAGATTTTAACTACAAAAGCTTGAAAAATGCACTTTAACTTATGTGTGAAACTCGCTACCCACAACAGCAACATACTTTACCAATTTCACATATGTGTTGAGGGACAAAGACATTTTCGACAGCTCAAAATCACATGCTGCTTAATTCAGTCTGTCTAAAGAGTGAGGAGAAAATGCTTTTGTTGTATCTGACATTTTAGCAAATTTAAAAGTACAACTTGAATTCATCAGGGCAAGCTTGAACCAAATTAATGATGCCAACACAGTCAGCCGGAGGTATTTGAGCACAATTACACTACAATGTATGAATAATACACAATCTTTCAGTCTCTTTCCGTCTTGATCTTATTCTCAACAACCCATTAAATTTTAACAGCTTTCAAAGCCCTGCTTTTTTTTTTACAAGCATATGCTCTCTCTCTCTCTCTCTCTCTCTCTCTCTCTCTCTCTCTCTCTCTCTCTCTCTCTCTCTCTCTCTCTCTCTCTCTCTCTCTCTCTCTCTCTCTCTCTCTCTCTCTCTCTCTCTCTCTCTCTCTCTCTCTCTCTCTCTCTCTCTCTCTCTCTCTCTCTCTCTCTCTCTTCTCCTCTCTCTCACCTCCACTTGGTTTAGAATTCAGCTCACTGTCTCACAGAATTCTTCACAAGTTTGTAGTAGAACCCTTGTTTCCCCATCAACTCAGAGTGGGTGCCAGTTTCAGAAACTTTTCCATGACTGACCACACAGATTTTATCTGCATTCTGAATGGTGGAAAGTCTGTGAGCTATGACAACACAAGTGCGGCCTTGTCTTGCCTGGTCCAGGGCTTCTTGGACAACCTGCCACAGGTAAAACAAATTTCAATTTAATGTTCAGAGCAAATGGGATCATAGATAGTATCGATACTAGATTGTCTTGTAGTGTAGTTATCTATGAAGGCGAATCTAAAAACTAACATTTGTAATTACAGTAAAGGTAGAAAACCTTTAAAAATAACCCTTAAAAGATCATGATCTGAAACCTGTAAGTCAGCAGGGTTAAACTTAATCTGTCAGGGGCCAAACTCAATTCACACTTAACAGTATCCAGTACACACTGTCCATTGAATTCAGTTGAATTGAGTTGGGGCCAACCAGGTGTTCAGAATCTTACACGAGCAATAGGCACTTGAGAACAGTAAGATGCAGAACATTATTATTGTGGAATCTTATCATGGCCTTCAGAATCTCTTCATCAGACATCAAATGAAAAATAAGCATCTCAAAGATAATATCATTATTGGACTTCATTTTAAAAACTTTCCACAGTAGGCCTATATATTTCAAATCAACAATAATCATCTCCAATTAATTTGTTAGACTATAATATTAATAATAATAATAATAATAATAATAATAAAAATAATGATAAGTAATCATCATCATCACCATAGTAATACTTTGTCCATCAATGTCTGATGATGACCAATATATCTGGAGAGGAGCATATTTTCAAAGTAAAATGGAATAGGGCAGGAGTTTTCCTGGTCTAGAGGTTACAGTGTTCGCTTCACATTCAATAGGTCTCGGGTACAAAGCCTGACAGCAACAGAAAATTTTCTTCTCTAAACTTTTCTCCTTTCCTGCTCTCCATCAAAGTTCCGTTGTCTGCTTTAGTATCTACTTTATTTCCCCGTCCCCCCTTACCTTTGCCCCTCCTCTGGGCTCTAACTCTTATGAAGCCTTTCTACTGCCATTCCCTGGCTTCTTCATACAGCTGTCTCTCAGCCACACCACTGATCTTACAGTAGGTATGATCTAAACCTAGCCTTTTCGGATAAGGGCGAAAAATCTCGGAGGTCCCATGTGCCAGTTGAGCATGTTAAAGATCCCTGGGTGGCCCAAAAGTCGGCTTCGGCCGCTACCCGGGCAAAATTCAAAGTCAGTTCCTGCAACTAAAAAAGGTCAGTGTGTCCCTCACACTCATATGATCTTATGCAGTTGCGAGCCCTGAAAGCACTTAACAAGACAAAAAACAACAGAAAGAAAAAATTAGGGTTAAGATGATGTGTGCCTTCCACTGTGAACAAAGAGACAAATTCTGGTGGAGAAAATGTTGCCACTTTTTGAGTAATTTCAAGCTCCAATTCCACTTGTGGATGTGCGCAGTTACAGGTTTCTCTTTTTGCTTCAGCATTTTTTATTTCTGAAACTACATTTAATTGAGGATGCAGTGGTGGAGCAGTTAATGCGCTCGTCTCCGAAGAGGAAAGTCCGGGTTCTAGCCTCAGTTCGGACACTGATTTTTTTCGCCCCCTCCTGCCCACCCAGCAGAAATGGGTACCTGACTTCGAGTTGGGGAAGTAAAGACGGCGTGGAAAGGAACTGGTCACCCTACCACAATATTCCAAAGGCCCAGGAAGTTGTCTCACTAACAAGGCAATCCCCAAAGTCCGGATCTGATGCAGGAAAAACTTTACATTTGATTGGCTGCTCTCTGTGCTGCTGCTCTGCATCTGGGTTTGTTAGACTAAGCGGGAGCTGTTACCTTTTCACTCTCTGTATCCAGAGCAGAGGTTGCCTCATCAAGAAGAAGGATCTTTGGGTTTCTCACCAGAGCTCGTGCTATGGCCACTCTCTGCTTCTGACCACCACTGAGCTGGGTGCCTTTTGATCCCACATTAGTGTTGTAACCCTACCAAAAAAACACAAGTAAATGGAAGATCAAAAAGTGCATGCCACCCTCATTGTCATCGAAAGGTGAACATTTAGATTTTGTTTTCGCACCTTCTTACTCACTGTCTCATTCTTCATCATCAGTAACCGCACTCTTATCACTAGAATCCTATTCTAAGGAAAATTTGCATCCTTAAATCCCTCAGGAGTTGACAGCTTCAGATGTCAAAAACTGACATTTAAACACCAGAATGATAACATTGGAAAATCACATAATCAGTCAAAGGTCACAAGCTCAATGACTATTCAAGAGAAAAATGTTTCCTTGACCTTTTCTATAAATGCACCATGCAATGGATTAGATACTTAATTTGGGCTAAAATAGAGGGTTTTTTTTGTCACTGATCAAAAAGATTTTAGATTTTTTTTCCTCTAAGCAGTTGCAAATGGATAGACAAGAATCACTTCCATGAATTTATGAACTGAACAAAAAACTGTTTATTAAGTTTTTGACAGCTGACATGTTTCATCATCATAAAACAGAAATGTTACATTAGTTTGCCCCCCTCCCCCCTCAAAAAAAAAAAGAAAAAAAAAAGACAACCCAGTCAACAAATGAAATACTGATCACAAGATGAAAAATGCATGAGTATAAAAAATCCTGTTTCCCCAGATCTTATGTTGTGTCCCTGAAAAAGACATTTTACACATTTCTTCATTCTTTTCTCAGGCACAAACTGAGTGCTGGCCTTTGTATGGATAATTGTATGAAAGACAAGCATATCCTGTCCAGGAGGAAGTCTCACATGATCTTTCTCAAACATAAAAATCAAGGATGAATTCTCACATTGTTACCCATACTGGCCCTTACAAACTTTACTTTATTTTGAACTTAGGCCTACACTGTTCAAAGTCCAGCAAAAGGATTGTAAAATTCAAAACTAGACAGTATCATAAAATATCAACATGCTAAGCCAGCATAATCAATAAGCCTATATGGTTTCAGACCTATGAAATGTTAATGGACTTGCATAAAAGGAACAAAACAATGAACAGACTTAACATCATAATATTTACCTTTGCTACATTTCAACATTGGTAAAAAGAAGACACACTTAGCTATAAGGCCTACATACTTTTAAACCTAGCAAATACTATTCAACACCAGACCTATATACTTAAAACTTAAACTATAACATTACCATTTCTGGCACACTGGAGGCAAGATGTTCCTTACCCATGTTATACAAAGACATGGCGAATATCTATTTTTTTTAAAAATGCACTGACTCATTTGATCAAGTTCCCTCATTTCTATCCAGCAAACAAGGAACAATTTCCATCCCTGACTTCTAGGTCTAACCAGCAGAAAAGTGATAAATGCTGAAAATCTTTTTCTTTAGCTCCAGGTTACATACTTACATCGGGCAAACTTGAAATAAAACTATGAATGTTTGCTCCCCGTGCAGCACTGATGATCTCGTCCATCGACACCACTCTGCTGTTATCTCCGTAGGCGATGTTCTCAGCAATACTACGATCAAACAGGACAGGCTCCTGAGACACAATGCCTATTTGAGCTCGCAGCCATTGGATGTTGAGAGTTTTCAGATCATTCTGGCTTAGGCACTGCAAGAAAAGTTTCACATATATAGTAACTGTCTGTTCCAATCAATTAAATTTTTCCTAGTGCAATGTGCCTATTAATGTACATCAAATCTCTTACAAGGCAGAAATTCGTTAATTCAGCTAGTATGGCTTCAGACACAAGAGGCATTTCTGTAGACCCAATCACCTAAACTGTAAAGGAAATTTTGACTTTGACTTTGAATTGATAAGTGGTTTTTATTCAGCGGTAGTACAGTGAAATATCTGCCTAAGAACTTGGTCACCAGGGGAAGATAATTAAAAAACAGAGATACTTGTACTTGCTGCTTGTAGGTGACCTTTAAGGGGCACAACTCAGCTCCCACTAGGGAGCCTCCAGGTTACCTCAGCAGTATATTCTTAGGCTGAAATATGACCTGTTGGAAATCATAATGTCTAACATAAGAGAGAAGGGGTTTTAGGGGTTTCCAGAACTATTTTTTTTCTTCTTCACAATCAAACCAGATGTCTCAAACAGGATGGCAAGCACAGAAACAAAAAAAATACAAATGCTGTCATCCTGAGTAGGTTAGGCCTACACAATAAATCTTAAACTCTAATTCAAAAGAACTTATCTCCTTTATTAATAGAAAAACTAATTTGTAAATATTCACTCTTATTGACTGTTATGAAGAAAAGTATAAAAGAATGTCAAAAGGGAACTGGAATTAAAACTTTATTATTGAAATTTTAAAAAAAAATCTCAACTCCACCAATTTCTAAATCACTTTTCAATTTTTTCCATGTTCCTTTAAAAACTTTTTCAAGATCCTTACTTAAAATACAGTAAAACCTTGGTGTAACACGCTCCTTTCAGAGCCAAGATTTTGAACGTCTTAGCTGTGGTATGTATTAGCTAAAAAGAGTAAAAATACTAAATGGGACTTCGGGCTTCAGAGAGTGAACGTGACAGCTGATAGCACGTTTAAAGTTGTGTAAATTATACCAATGTTTTACTGCAGTCATAACATTCTGGTTCACACAGGTCTGCTTGATAAATGTGAGGCATCGTGGTGAAATCAGGCGCTCGTCAAAATAATGAAATTGAAGAAAACGGCATTTTTCTTCCCCTATAGCAATTTTGTCAAATTTTCATTTTTTTGGCTCAACACCTTTTATATCCATTTAAAAACACAATGCCATGTGGCTTTTATTGAAACATGCTCGATAAAAAGCACAAAAAATGTAAATTTAATGTTTCAAAGGACTCTCAAGCTTTGGAAGTACCCAAACTTTGGCGGCCATTATCTCTCATATGTTACTTCTAAAACCAAGTGACCCCACCTGCTTCAATCCAAAATATCTCAACTTCTATTGAATAGGGAAGAATAATTTTTTCATCAAAAGGAAGACAAGCTTAAAGATAATACCTATTACTCCATATGCCCAGAAGTTGACGAGCGCCTGATTCCACCGCGTCGTGACACAAGTGAATTAAGTAAAGAGAAATCAACACCACTAACCACAGCACCATCTTCTGAGTCGTAAAAGCGCTCAATGAGCTGCACAGAGGTGCTTTTGCCACACCCACTGCTACCCACAAGGGCAAGGGTCTGGCCTGGAGATACAGAGAAGCTGAGTCCTTGCAAGACTTCCACTGTGGGGCGGGTAGGGTACCGGAACTTCACAGACTGAAATGTCACCTCAGCATGATAGTCGCTCTGTACAAATAAAACAAAATGTTCATAAGTCAGCAATATCAACAACTTCTATGAAGCAATAACTTGTCACAGAACTGTACCTCTGACAATAGGCCTACTTGAGATGAACCAAGTTTTCTTTCTTTTATTTCATATAATATAATTTTATAAATGTTGTGTCGGCTATCTGTTGTTGTCTTAGAATTTATATGTTAATTCAGTGTCCATTCCCTCTGCAGTGTGATGCAGTGGAGGGCCTTGAAGGAGACAACAAACCCTTTGGGGGACAGTGCTCATTACCTCCAATCAGGTAATCAAGACAAAGATACTTGAAGGCTAGTTTATGGGCAAGGAAGCCTTGAAGTTTGTGGTCGTCAATTGTAGTGCGGATGAAAGCAAGAAAGGATGTTATAAACCCTTTATGTGTGTTCATGTTAAATGTAAAGAACAAAGTACAAACACTGTGTTTGACCAGCTTCTTATAATAGTAATACATTGCTATAATGATGGGAAACCTGTGAATATTTCAAGTATGTGTTTATGCATGTGTGTGTGTGCTGGGTAGATAATTTTAGAATTTAAATTGAACATTAAAAGTTAAGACTAATTTCACTGGTCAATCTAATTAAATAAGTGAATCTCCCCTCAATGACCAGGGAGTACCCATACTATGCACAGATCTCACTTGTTCTAGCAAAACTTTTATTTCTTTCAAACTACAGGGAGATTATTCTGACTTGTTCAAAGAATGTTTCAAGCTCAATCCTGAGCAAGATCTTATCTCTTTAATTTCCCACTTCTACTTGTCTCCCAAGGACTAGGATTGCATTTCAAAACTATATCACCTATCCTACAAGAAACAACAGAAATTATCAACACCCTTTTTAATCTCTGCAGGAAATAGTGACACAATGAATAACTATCAATATATATCAAAGCAATAAATTCAAGAGTAGCCTGACAATGCTATTTAATACTAAAGCTCAGAGCTTAGTTTTAGAGCTGGAGTTAACATTTATTAATCAGTGACTTCTTATCTTAAGGCCACTGCCCAAATAACATTTGACATTCTCCGGAAACCTGCATTCTTTCACTGCTTGAATACTATTGGAGTCGTTTTGTAAAAAACGTCAACAAAACTTGGAAATCGCTGTATCCTGACAGTGCCAAAATTTCTCATTTAAGCAGAACACTACAGACAGTCAAACTTGAAGATAATTAACACTCTTAGTACCATCAAGGACTTTTGTCACCAGGCCGTAATATGTGCTCATTACCACTGCTCCGATCTTATCAGAATACTTGGCAGGCCTGTGATACATACCAGAATGTCCAGCCAAGAGATACCAGGCAATAACTTAAAAGTACAGACCCCTGTTTTTCCAAAACTTAATGAACTGACCAACTCTTTTATTTTTAAAAATATGAATCAAACTATCTTACAGGAAGTTTATTGCCATCTGGGGAAGTGTGGTCAATGGATGGTTGACTGTCAAGCAAATGAAGAATTCGTTTGGCTGCAACCTGGGCTTTTCCTACATCAGGAGCAAAGGCAGATGCATTTCCAAGGCCCATAGCTCCAAAGACAATAGCTCCAAACACCCTGGAAAACATAATCAGCTTCAAAGTCAAGATTGCTATCAACTTATACCAAAATTAAAGGAAAAATAAGTTTCAAAACTTAATATTTTTGTTTCCAAAGATAATAGCAATGCTTAATTGAACATTGTCATGATATAAAGTGGTAAATCAAGCATTTCTGAGACAGCATCACTTTTCATTCTTTACTGAAGAGCCAAATAGAGTAAACTTAGCTAATGACAATGTCAAGGGGACGGAGAAAACATCTATCAAATTTAGCAGTGAAAATCATCACTCATTTGAAAGTCATACCATCACAGCTGATTTCAAAAGGAATTCATAGTACAAGCATTCTTTCTTCATAAATTATCCTGTATGCATTGTCTTTATATGTGACTAGAAGGTTATATGTCAGAAAGTTCTAAAACCCATGACTCCATAATCTGTTTAGTATGTGTTCCCTCAATTTCTTAGAGTTGGTGAAAAGTGTAACATTGCTGTGCTAACATTCAACCTCCAAACAAAGACTATAATTTCCTTCCTTTGTAGTCTGTGAAACCACTCCTTTTAAGAAACTGGATATATGGAATATTATGTATTGAAAGAAAGTTTATAGTAAATTGGCCAATTCAGCACTGCTGACAAGACATATGTTAACCATTCCAGCCCCAGCCATTTTTTGCACTCCCTAACCCCAGTCCCAGCCAATACAGCAGTTTATTAGAACAAGAGGCAGCATTCTAAAAAGTGTTGTAAAATCTTTGTAATGAGGTTCAGATAATAATGTATAACAATGTTTAAAGGTAAATGAATAAAGATTATGAAAATTTAAGTTTAATTAGGTTCACTAATTTTGAAAAATGCCCAAATTCGGTACCTCCCTAAAACTGAGAATATATGCTCTAGGGACAGTGGAGGGTACAAATGCTGCTGAATATATGCGCTTGGGGCTGAAAGGGTTAAGGTTCTTTCACTGCATCAATTGGGAAAATGTGGGTTTATTTGCTTTTTGGGTTGTGTTTATCTTGACCTAGAGTTGCTCAACTCTTTATCTCTGGAGGGTGTTTTCCCAGTACGCCAGGGTCCTCTTATAAAAACCTAAAAGTGACAAATTATGTCACTGAATTGGTCATGATATCAAAACAAAGGAACTATTTTGATAGTTCTTTATCTTATGATAAAGCTCCAGGTAAAAGAGACCTGTTTTCATTAATTGCTGAAAATCAACATAACGTTGATATCATCCTTAATTAATGTGATCGAGCCATTGCCAGCCGCCCACTGGTACAGTGGTTCCAACAATGAACCACTGGGAGCTGCTTGATGGAGATAAGGAGTCAAATTTGTTTTGACTTTTTACAATGGCCTCCAGTGGTAGAAAACAAACGATAGCAGTACAGGTTCCAAAATAATTTCCTGATCTGTAGCTTTATTGGATTCTGATCATGAGTCTGTTCAAATATCTGCTAGATTAACAAAATACAGCACTGGATCGAGACTTTGATTTTGATGGCAATGGTAAGACAACAAATACCACTGCCACATAGTTTGGGCTGGATCCAAACATCCCAGCTATTGTGAGCAAAAACAAATACAGATAAATATCCAAATGCAAGTCAGTGTTGTGACAAAGCAGGCTGTATATGAATTCAGCATCGTTAGAGACTTTTTGTACAAGTTATACACTTTGAAGTTTGTTTGTATTTCTAGTTTGGTACATGTCTGGTGATATGCTTTTTCATATTTTGTGTTCTGCTTTGCAATATAACATTTGGCATAAAAGCTTACACAATCACATGATACTACATTCAGTATAAGCAGCAAAAGAAATTGTAATAATTGATAGGTTAGTTTTTCACTCTCATATTTAATTTTTTTCAGCCCAACAAGTTCCCTCAGAAATTGCTTAACACAGCAGGGAATTGCATTAGTTTCCGTTCAACTGTATGAGTTAAGCTTTAAAAACCACCAATACCTGTGCTTTAAACTTACAAAAACACATCTGCATAGTCCATCTCTTTCTCCTCAATAAGGTAGGCCCCGAACACAAAGGCCGTAGCATAAGCAAAGTAGATGATGGATTGTGAGAAGGCATAAGTGAGGCCAACCAGGTGGGCCCTCTTCAGAGCTGCTTTGTACGGAGTCTCAAGCTGGTCCATGTATAGGCTGAAGAATGTTGGCTCCTTTGACAAAGACGCTACTGTGCGAATGTTCTCAATACTCTCTGTTGCTACCTGGAAGTGGTTACCAATCAAATGAAGAAGTTTATATTGCACAATGAGGAAATCCCATCAAATAAGATTTTTTAAAACTTCAGAATACTCTCAGGTCATATATATATATTTTTTTTTCGTTCGATGCTTATACATAACCAGGTAGATTGTAACTACAGCACAAAACTTGACCCCTTGAACTGAGCACAATAATTTCAACTCAAACTTTAACATATTAAAAAAAGAGCACTCCTAAAAAACTTGACTCATGGGACTGATACAAAACCTTTTGTCTTCTTATAAACCCATTGCCACTGAAAACAGCTTAGTTGTATACATGCTCCTACTGAAACATAGAATAAAAAGCCTTGCAACATTCATTTTCACAAATCTTCAATGTAGCCAATTTTTTTTTCTTTCAACAAAATTCACATTCAGTGGGATATGACATTACTAAATGGTGACTCCAACTTCAACCATTATTTTAATTAACAGCTCTCCGATCTGTTAAAAATATTAAATCACCCTCTAAACTTTATTTTCACTCAACAAAAGAGTTCTTAAAAAAACACTCACCTTTCCAGCACCTTCCAGAGCTTCCTTGTTCTTTCCTGACTGTCCAGCCAACAGTTTTACCTCCATGATTCCACCCAAGACAATAAAAGGCATGAAACCAAGAATGACCAGAGTGAGTTTCCAGCCATAAATGAAAGAAATAACGATGGCTGTTCCCATGTTGGCAAGACCCATCAGAACATTGCCAAGTCTCACACCTGTCACCTAGAAACAAAGACAGAGATACCTGCCACAAGGAATGATAAAAACAGTAGGGTCTGCTTCAACACTGTATATCCCCAAATGAATTGTGATTGGAAATAGGAACAAACAGGCCGATTTTCAGCATTTTTTCAAAACTGTTTGATCTATTCATTACAGTATACACAAAGCTTAAAATACATGGCGTCGTGGCCTAGTGGTTAGGCTCTCAGACTCGCAACCGTAAGGTCGTGGGTTCGAATCCCGTAAAGGGCCCGACATTGTGTTCTGGGGAAAGACACTTTACACAAATTTTCCTTACTTGACCCAGGTTGGAATGGGTACCCGGCTATAGACAGCGAAAGATCTTGTCAGTTTGTTAGTGTCTGAGCGCTTAATCAGCTGCTTGCCCTGTATGCTTCCCGGGAAGCTGAGAATGTTTCGGAGTGTTCTATGGTCTGCTGGGGTAATAATATACAGTGGAAACCTGATATAACAGGGATGGTGGGAGTAGAGAAAATGTCCTGTTATATCCGATCCCTGTTAAATCAGAAATGCAAGGAAAGTGAGCATTTATTGTGGACTAATCTAGCTGTACTTATTCATGGGTAGTTTCCATTGCCACAAGTACCCACGAACAGGGTTTTTTCCACTAACTTTCTCCTTGCCTCCTTAAACCACACCAGAAGAGCTTGGTCCACAGCATCTGCATCGGGTAGTCCCATCTTCTTTCGATCCAGAGCAAACTTTCCATTGGAGTATGTTATCACTATCTTCGCTCTATCCTTGATAACGGTGTGAATCGACCCTTGTGGAATGTCGAAGTAACGACAAATCTCTGCCAGTGGAGCTTGCTTTTTGTCAACAGCCTGGATTATTTCGTATTTTTTGTCAATTGAAAGGCAGTTTCTCGTGCACTTGACATCATTGGAGACACATTACGCGTTGCGTGTTGCTAGGTTTCGGGCTAGATCGAGGTTTGCAGCACACTGCAGCCCTCTCTCGCTTCACGAGCTGTGTGTACTTGCAGTGGCATGGCTTGCGTGGGCTTGCTCCATCTCTCTCTCTCTCTCTCTCTCTCTCTCTCTGCCTCTCTCTCTCTCTCTCTTACTTTTTACACATTGTTAACCAGCCTTTGTCCCTGCTATAACTTGTTGGACTCCGATGGGGCCCTGTTATTGCCGATAACTTTTAATAGAGACAAAGAGTAGGAAAAAACGGAGATTTAAAAAATCCCTGTTATTACCGGATCCCTGTTATTACCGGGCCTGTTATATATGGTTTCCACTGTAGTGTAAAGCGCATAGAGCCTGCTGTTGAGCGAGGATATGCGCTATACAAATGCTATTTATTATTATACCATTTAAACCCTAACTATGGTCGTTATTTCATAAGAGTGAATAATTCACAGACAATGTTGTTGTTGTTGATGTTGTTGTTGTTGATGTTGTTGTTGTTATTCCTATTGTAGTTGTTGTTATCAATCCAACAACTGCTGGGCTCTTGCCCTTCTGTCCACTGCCATGTAGTTATAGGTGCAGGTTTGTTGCAGTTGCTGTACTGTTCCATAGAGTGTGTTGTCAGTATTAGGTTTCGAGAGAGAAATATAGTTCTGATGTCACTTAGGCAGTGCAGTGGAATAGGTGATGATTGAAAGTCTCATACCCATAATCCCACAAATGAAACGTTTGGGAAAGTTCTGGTTTTATTCTTATTAAGAGGAACTGAGCTGGATATGTTCTGTTCTAAGGTCTGTTCCTTTTCACAGACAAAAAAAATCAATTTAACAAAGCAGGTTTTTATAAGAAATTCAATTGAGATCTACAAAGTTAATTCTAATATCCTTTGACCTTCATCATGCTGTTCAGAATCAGCAAAAACCATCTCAAACTGATGAAATCTTATTTAAACAGTAGCCAGCCAAAAACCAAAGCTCCTTATATGCTTGCATAAATGAGACCCCTCAGTGGTTTCTTACCCCCTGGACAAGAGATGCATCTGTTGCTAGCCGGGTGGTCAGGGCCCCAACACTGTTCTTGTGATCATCATACCAGGCAATGTCCTACAAAGATAAGAGAGGCAGGTTATAATTACATTCTCTCTGTTTTACTGTTTTTGATATATGCAAAGAAAGATACAGATGGGGCCTTTCACAACAAGGAATATTTGAAGGAAGTGTGCGGTAATAAACAACACTGAAATGTTCAGATTTGGGTCAAAATAATTTATTTTGAAATGTGGGCATTTTGGGCTTCTTCAGCGTCTCTTACAAATATTTCACCACATGACAACCTCCTAAACCCTTACTTTGTCACATATCAGGCATTTAAGTTACCACCTCATCCTCTTTTTTTCCCTTTATCACTCTGTTGTCCCTTGGCGCCATAATACGACGGTGAAAATTATCCGTTCTGGTCACCTAGCGCACAAGCCCAAGAAGTCTGTTCAGTCACTCTCTTAGCTGGGTGACCAGAAAGAGTATTTCGTACTGCTGGCTGTGTGACTGCAAAGGGTTATAGTTCTTTTTCTTAAAATCTTGTTTTTCTATATAATTTAAAAAACAGCTTTATCAAATTTCATCCAATATTCATTAAATTCATAGAGTGACAAGAAGATGTAACATGATAGAATTGATGTTGAATTTACAATACATTTGAACCTGCCTTAAGGGAAACCTGTGTAAGACGGAAACCAGTCAGAACAGAATCTCCCTGCTTCCACCTTGATTGATTCCTTAATTTACCTGAATAAAACTGAAACCTGTCTAATGCGGAAATGGAAAGAGAAATTCCTCTATCCTCCAGAGAGTTTTAATCTGCCAAAGATGGAAAATACTATGCCCATGCAGTCCTGATTTGAAACAAAACTATCAAGTTCGGTTTCATTGGCTCTAACCTTTACGCCATTCCATCATGAGAGGAAGGGGAGTAGGGGTGCAATTTGGGGGTAGATGTTATTCTATCCATGTGAGCCTTCAGTAGTGCAGATGGTAAGGGTAGTGTGGGTGTGAAATCTCACCAGTGCCTGTGAAAATGCTTGAGGCGTGCTCCAGCATGGAAACTTTCATGGGTAACCAGAGGTCAAAGATGCGAAATAAGTTTGACCGATGCCTGACTTCCTGGATGGTTGTTACTTGCACAGGAGGGGTGGCATTGATTCACTGTGCTTATTACACCAATGGGTGGGAGGGACTAAAGGTGGAAGCAAAGGAGAAGTTCAAACGTTTCTGTTTTAAATAGGTCAAACTGGGTTCCTATGAAATGCAAGCACTGGTGGCAAGGAATAAATAGGACAGGCACATGCCATTATCAGAGGGGCCAGGAAAGCACTTGGAAGATATGAAGTTCTGATCACTGCTTGCCGACTAGACAAGCCACCCTTGATCCAACAGACTGGGCCTCTGAACCCCCCCCCCCCCCCCCCCCATTTCTATCTCCTTCCAATGCCCCTGTCTAAGGGGGCAATTGTCTAAGATAAAGCTTTTTTTCCGGCCCCCTTGCGATTCCGTCTAACACAGGTTCGACTGTATGTGAAATAGATTTTTGTTGGTGTGTCTGGAGTGTGAACTTTCACTGATTTTTTGTAGCTATGAATATTACTTCGAGAGAAAAAACACTCATTAAAAAGTTTCAAATTCATTTAGGAAAAATTCCTGACAATTTTGTAAAGCTATTGTGTCTTAACACGCATGTAAATAAAAACCCATTTCCATTGAGAATAAGTGAGATATTAACTGTATAAGAAACATCAACAAAATCCATGTGGCCATTTTTTCCATGGCAAGGAAACTTTTTTTCCAAAGGTCTATTGCAAATTTGAAGGAATCCACACTATGTTTGTTATATGTAAAAAATGTGGTGAAATTTGGTCTACAAATAAACGAGATAGCCCTTAGCTGCCTAGCACCCCAGAGAAATGAAGTAAAAGTATAACCATTTGAAACTCTGAAAAGATGACCAGCTATGCTGGGCAGCAAAATGCATACATCATCAACATCTGAAGAGTTTCAAGGGCATGAAAAACGTGTCAGACTAATTAGTATGAAGAGCTGAAAGCACATGAAGGTGTTCAGAGTTCTAGGAAGCTGATTTGCTCATTTTTATTGTACCAAAAAGTTGGATTTTCCAGTGTGTAAACAATTTCAGATTGGAAGACAAGATAATCACAACTGCTCACAAGATTGTGGTCTCACCTGTCTGAGCATGGACTGGAATGTGTTGTTCCTGAGTCTGGTAGTCAGTTTCTCTCCAGATTTTCCAAAGAAATAACCCTGAGTTAGCAAATACACAAATACACAAGGCCTTTCAAAATCTTTATAATGTAAAGATTATAGCTGAAAAAAAGCTCGATATATATAAAATGATTTAATTATTTCGTAGACACCCCGGAAATCATCATCACTTCCATCATACTCTTCAATATCATCGCTGCCATCCCTACTATCATAATTCCCCATTTTCAATGACATGTGCAAAAGTGTTGGCATTTACACCTAGCTATTCAGAAGCTATGATCAACAGGTGAGCAAATAGGCCTACTATTGATTCTAACTATGCAGCAGTATTAAATAATCTTTTTGTTTTTCTCTTTATTACTTTGTCTTTTCAAAATTTATGAAAATGATGCTGAAAAATGTTTTGGGTAATTGTGTCAATCTTTGTTATGTGGTAAAGGCCGTAAAGGGCCTGTCTAGGTGAAGAAATGGAAATGGATTGGATACACCCTGAGGAGACCCCCAACAAGCATCATCAGGCAGGCTTTAACGTGGAACCCACAAGGAAAGCGTAAGAAGGGAAGACCAAAGATGACATGGAGGCGAGCGGTACAAGCGGAAATTGAAAAAGCGGGGACATCATGGAAACAGATTGAAAAGGATGCTCAGGACAGGCTTCGCTGGAGTAATGTTGTTGATGGCCTGTGCTCCACTGGGAGTTAAAAAAGGCCAGAGAGAAGAGAAAGGGCCTGTCTAGACAAAGCTCAGGCACAAATGCACAACAAATTAGACAATACATAGTTAAATGAAAAAAAGTGGTATACATGGGCATTTTCTAAAACACTGGTAAAATCTTACACTATGAAATAAAATCAGAGTTATGATGACAGTTTTCAAGATTCATAGATCCTTCTTCCCATGTGGATGAATAAATGTGTAATAAATCTGTCTGAGCCTTAGTGTACGAATTGGCAGACACCATATCTAGCATTTGAGCTATATTACATTTTTTTATCTGTAGGAAATTGGTGAGCAGGATCTTAAATGCCTATTGTTTTTAAACGATATTTTGTATTCCACCTGATCTACTTTTTTCTGAAACAGGATACAGATTGGGAGTTAAAGAAATTAATTCTTTAAAAGTTTTACACTTAATGAAACACACTTTGTCACAGACCTATACATATTTTACCTTTCTCCCACAACATATACCTACTAAATATTCCAACTAACCTGTATGAACATTGTAATGAGGCTGACCACACCAAGCCCAACAAAGATCAGGCAATACATTTGAATTTGCTTCTTTTGTTCACTCTCAGATTTTGAGAACACCTGTGGAGTAAAAAAGGAATACCTGAAGAATATGTCTATAGGAGTGATAGGTTTGATTCTGCTTGGTTTGAGGTCAACACCATTTTAGAATGGAACAGGTCTTCCATAAGACAGCACTTTTTTCACTAGTAAGACTCCAAGGCCTGCTCCAAAACAATAGCAAAGAGCAAACACACTGGGGCTTGAAATTGAAGTTTTGAACATCTGTCGTATACTAAATTGTACATGCACAGTGGTCATCAACTTATTAATAAAAATATTCAGCCTATTCAAACGACCAGAATGTCAAAGTATTTTATTCATCTTGCCTTACCAATAAGACAGACCGATGAATTAATATCATGAACAGCATTTCATTTTGGATGATAAATGTAAAACTATTAGAAGCTTTTTATCTGAAGTGCAACATCCTTTTCATTACTTGCCATTTATCGTGTATTAGGATATGGTAATATGCACTTGGGAGATTTGGAGAGGATATGATCAAGACACAAGCAATACAAGAGGCAAAGTGCTCATATGACAGTTTTTATGATAAACAAGAAATAGAATTAGTAAGCCATGTGCTTGAAACTTTTAAACATACAACACCAAAAACATGATTAAAGGATATTTCACTTGCATGCACAAACACTAGTGAGCCGATACAAATACACTAATGTACACACACACACAGAAACAAAAACACATACATATACAGAAAACACACATTCACATTACACACACACACATACACACACACACATTCACATTACACACACACACACACACAAACACACACACACACACACACACACACACACACACACACACAAACACACACACACACACAAACACACACAGGTAACAAGATTACAGAAAGTTCAGATATACCTTTTGACTATGGGTTAAACTTCAGTCAGGGGAAAAAAATCCTTTTCCTTTCATTACTAGTTGAATCAAACATATCAAAAAGAGATTATTATTATCTTTACCTTTTGTACTCGTCACGTCCTATAAAACACGAAAGCTAAGGAGTTTGGAAGACGTATAAAAAACCCCCTTTTTTTTCCTTCCAATATTTACCTCGAGGATTTCACTGAAAATCACGGCAAAGGCAGGCTGGACACCACCATTGATAATGCTTCCAAAGCAGGCCAATAGAATGAAGTGCCACTCTGGTGCATTCATCTTGAGCAACCGGAAGAAAGGGGCATCAGGCAGTTTCTCATCCTCTTCCTTCAACAAGGAAAAAAAAATGTAGAAAGAATTTTACACCACTCGGAACCTGTTACAAACTCGGTAGCTCACTGCTGACTAAGATCCCACAACAGCAACAAAAACTACAACTCTAGAACATCAGTTAAAAGAAAAGTAAGGTAAAGAATGTATGAGGACAAAACCATAATATTAACACAACAATGAATAAGTATATAAACTTTAAAAATTTAAAGAATAAATTGTCTTCAATCTTTGATAATCATAGTTGTTCTAGAAAGCCTATCACAGAGTTATTGGTAACTTTTTGTTTCAAAATGCAGGGCAAGTGAATTCATTTTGCTCTGTTCATGGTAAACATAGAGGGAGGGAGGATAAGGGGATGGGGGGAGGCTGATCATCTGCTTAGGTGCTTGATTTTAGGAGTATATTTATTTTAATTTACTAATAATTGATAAATCTTCACTGAAATCTTTGTTTTGTTGGGTCCTGATCATCATGATCATTATATTATTATTATTATTATTATTATTATTATTATCATCATCATTATCATTAGGTCTATTATTATTATCACTAGGCCTATTATTATTATCCTTATTATTATAGAGACTATTAATTTTTTTTTAAAGAGGGGGGGGGGGGGGGGGGCGGTTTGTCATGCTTTTTAAGCTAACTAAAATAATTTACCATTAGTTATAAAGAGTTCTCTGAGACCCCTTAACTGTTTCCGGACGTATCGCCGATATATCGGCGTGAGTCCACACCCCTTGCGGACGCATGGCCGATATATCGACGGTGACAGGGTGCCTCAGTATTGTTTCGTTTTAATATAATCCGTCATTTATAATTACTTTTTATTGTTATTGAAAACTTGGAAAGGTTTTAGGAAACGAAAACATCTAGTTTCACTTTGTCAAAGCATGGGTTTTGGGAAAAACGAGTGAATTAGTTCTTGCTGTCTTGCAATATTAACAAAACAATGTAACCGGACTCAGTATAAATATCCTAACTTAAATAAAAATTGGAATATTGCTTTCAAATAAAAAGCTGCGCTTTCAGAAATTTATGGATTATGCTCTTCGCCTGTAGATGATAAGATAGCTATGCTGATTTACTTTCACATGTTTGGTGAATGTAATTTTTTCCATCAAAATTCATTTTTCTCATTACTATCGTCATTTCTAACCCTTGTAATGTATGCTTATATTCAAAATTAATCCTTGTTTCATGTTGGCATGTATTCTCATTCATTTTCCTTCAATTTGGTATATCATATCTTATGTTTTGAGTGATGGTTATGCTTATAAAAAGTTAATTTGTACACTACCTGTGTAGCCAAATCGAGCCATAAGTTAGTTAGGTCTAGACCCCCCCAAAAAACTATGTCTGGAAAGCGTTAATGACATTGCAAATCTGGTTTTTCTCTTAACTAGCGAGCTCCTGAGACACAAGCCTGGTACGTATCCCTCCACTCCGCAGCTTCACTTTTCTCCCGATTCTGTGCCTTTTATTTGACGTGACTCTGCAGCTTGCTGAAACTCCCCAGCTCAGTGTCATCGGGATTAATGTGCACTGAAGTGACTTTTCTGGTGTTGGTTAAGAAGTAAACATTTTTGTCAATTTTTGAATGGATTTTTTGCCCATCCTACCATTATACAACTGTACTGAGAGCTCAATGTTTCAAAATGTATTCTCCGTGGGAACGGTTATTTTCTGTGCCACAATTTTTGTTCAATACAAGTGTTCGCTGAGTACCCAATTTGTCCCTTTTTTAATTACATGCATTTGAATAAATGATTGTTTGTTTAAATTCGGCTTATTATATATCACCAAAATCTGTATAATTTACTATGAGTATCATGCATTTTACCTTGAGAAATCTTGAATCTGTACAGGTAGTGATAGTCAAGTAATAAAGAAAGATGCACATCTGCATTTTTTGGTCAAAATAGGCTCAGTGTTGGCTCCTGCTTTACTATGGAACACAAAAGAGAATGAAACTGCTTTTGCTCACGAATCATATTGTGTTGGTGGCAGCCTGTATACAACTAAGAAAGATACGCGATCATTTAAAAACACAAAACTGTCTATATACATACTTCTTGTATAAGAAATATTTTTAAAAACCCTGCCAATTCCATTTTTTAGTTTTGTGTCCAAAATGTACGCAGGCAAGAATGAATATGAGAATATCCGAGCATAATCAGTCTCTGCAAATGGTAAAAAAAACTGGAAGAAAAGCTTTAAAAGTCTGGTGCTGATTCAGTGTTACTGGATATCTAAAACTTATTCTGAAAATTCAGTCACTACATGTTACCCCTGTTTTTAAGACAACTTACAAAACCTATACATTTAAGTTTTAATAAAAGTAAGGGATTTCTTGAGATATTATTCTGGCACTAGAATCAATTGTACTTAAATTTTGCATAGATAAATCACAGTGTAAATTTGTATAAACCTTTGAGTAAATATGTGGATTTTCATAATTCTTTTATACACATGGGTGGTTGGCGGGTGCTCTGGTGTGGTTTGCTTCTTCTTTCCTATCAAACATCTATCGTCTTTATCTCCCCTCCTTCTTTTTTCTGTTTGTTACTCTCTTGTAACACCTCTAATCTTCAGCGCTTATATGACCTTCTTGTGTTGCAAGTGCCGTAAAACTCTTACTAAAACTAAACTTTTATACACATAAAATTGTTAGTGCAGGGGGATCTTAGAATAAATCTTCGTGAATTGATTGCAAGGTGGATTAAGATGTAGAAATACAGCTTCCTATCACCTGCGCAGATATGGCCTTTAGTGAATACCTCTATCTACATTATTTCGTTCATGTTCTAAAAGCTTGACAATTTTTGTCAAGCAATCTATTTTTAAAAAAAAATTTTTTTTCATCCACCCTTATCCAAAAGAATTCACAATTTAGCATTGCTGACTTCAGTGTGTCTAACAGAATAATTAAATAAGATAAAACGTCTGCCATTTTTTTAGTCTTAAAGGCAGAAATTCATACTTAGGGTGCTTTAAATGATAATTACCATAAGTACAAGGATACACAAAACTTTAAGTTGGAAAGTGTCAAAAATTAAGTTCACCCAGCCAGAGTGGTGACAGGGAGCTGACATGATAACTACTACTACTAAAATTCCACTGCTGGTGCACCAAGGCCCGAACTGTAAGGCATCAGAGAGGAAGAAGAACTAGCTGTAACCCAATAAGAATGATCCTCAAAGGTCATTTAGAAGACAGATCTCACAGTCGGACATGAGATTAAGTGGTAGTGTGAGTCCAATTATGGGTATGATTTCAGAGCAAAGCGCTGACCTCTTCAGCTTTCTTGTCTTCTGGTTCTGACATTTGTCGCTTTACAGTGGACACAGCTCGCTGCGGTTTATGTTTCTCTGTCACTTTGTCAACCATTTCTTCTAACTCTTCATCTGAAAAAAACAAAAGTCACCTTCTTTAAGCAATAGTGTTAGAAAGAGAATGTAAAGAAATCCAACTAATATTTTAAAAACAGATGTGGAATTTTTTTCTGTCAATGTGCTGTAGAAGGAGGATGACTCGAGTGGTGTTGATTAAGTATCGATTAGTCTAAACTCCAAATACACATCGTATATTGTATAATATAACCAAATATCTTTATGATAAAGCGAACAACTTTAGTTATCTAAAGATTGCACTATCTTACATCGGATTTTAAAAGATAAAACCAATAATAAAGACAAAAAGAAGTTGGGCCTATTGAAATTAATATTGGATCCAACTGTTAAAAAAAGCAATATTATGCAACAATCCCAACAAACATTGCATTCATATATGGTAGAATAACCTGTATCAGTTGACTTCTCCTTGTGAGAAATCAAAGAAAAAATAAAATCACACTTAATTAAGAATGATGACCTCCTTTAAAACACAAACACTTGAATAAAATCCCAGATTTCAAGTCATTTACTAATAGGCATCATGGTGAATTCAGGCACTCATCAAAATAATGAAATCGAAGACACCAGCATTTTTCTGAAAGTTTGGCAATTTTTATCGATTCTTGTTTTTTGGCTCAAATCCTTTTTGTGTAGATTTTACTGAAAAATGTTCATCAAAGGCATTAAAAAAGTAAATTTTCAGTTTCCAAAGACTCTCAAGCCATTGAAGTCATCAAACTTTGGCGGCCGTTTTCTCACTAAATTTTATAAGTCTGAAATCATGTGACCCCCATCTCATTAAACTACAAATATTTCAACTTTTCTTCAAGACTGATGGGAATTTTTGTTATCGAAAGCGAGACAAATGAACAAAATCTAAGATGATACCAATAATTCCACATGCCTAAAAATAGATAAGCGCCTGATTCCACAGCGTCATGACACATAGTATTTTACTAAACATAAATGACATCTTGAAACATTATCATTTAATAGTAAATTCTTAAGATCAATTATCAAACATGAATTTTAACTTCTCATACCAAGTTTGAAACAGCTGTTTGCTGTCATGGCCCTCTTCTCATTGAAATACTCAAAAAGCCATAAAAAATACATGTTTTAACTTCGACTCTTTCCAGTATTTTAACTTTCAAAGGAAATCGATCTTTGTTTTTCCCAGTTTCTTGCTTCTTCAATATTTCAATGTTTTAATATAGCCTACAAAATTGAGAAATAACAAAGTGATGTGATGTGACCTATGTGGCATACTCAGCACTGAATGGTGAAATCAGGCGCTCGTCAAAATAATCAAAGTGAAGAAAGTGGCATTTCCCCGCAAGTTTGTGAATTTTATAGATTTTTTGTTTTTTGGCTCAACACCTTTCATATCCATTAAAGACCTCATTTCTGTGTGGATTTTTACTGAAAAAAGTAGATTAAAGGCAAAATATGTAAACTCTCAGTTTCCATGGACTCTCAAGCTAAGGAAATTACTCCTCTTTGGTGGCTGTTTTCTCACTTATTTTACCTCTGAAACCAGGTGACCCCTACCTCCTTCATTTGGACCTATCTCGACTTCTATTCTAGATAATGAGATATTTTTTTCATCCAAAGCAAGACAAATGAACAAGCTTTAAGATGATACCAATACTCCACAGGCTCAAAAATTGATGAGAGCCTGATTCACCACGTCGTAACACAATTGTACTTTGAATATACTAGAAATCATTATATTCAGTGTTAATTTTTCCTGTTTTCATGACATTAAATAAGGGGCCAACAAATTAAATGATGTATCTCATGGACAGGGGTAAAAGAATCGATGGGATGAATAGTCAGAAAGAAAACATCATAGCTTGAGCACTTAAGAAGTACAGAATTAAGACTTATCTTTGTTAACATCAAAGGAAGGGAGTAAAACTGATATGCTTTGAAACAGTGGTAAACTAATTGAGTTTATGATGAAGCTTTGTGGATTTGGGTAAATCAGTTGAACAGAAATTCTTGATCGTGAATATAATGAGAACAGCCAAGATACTTCAAGGCAGTAACAGGACTGTATGAGATGCATGTCATGCCCTCAGAGGGAAGCCCAACAACAACAAAAAGCAAACGACTTTGAGATGAGGGCAAATATAATTTTTTAAAAGTGTGAGATGGCTCAGGAACTGAAAATAGATGGAACAATGACATAAATATTAATGAAAATGTAAATGAAAGAATGGCATGTGCAAAAAGATGCATGCAGAGTTCTGAATGTCTCAAAATTAACATCTTAACGGAAGAGCATGGGGAAAAAATCTCCAAAGAAATAAAAAGTAAAACATAAGCTCAAAAAGGCACTCAGACAATACCTGAAGCTGAATTAATAAAACTGTGCAAATGATTAAACCAAGTGCAACTTCTTGGGAAGAAAGAACGTAAAAGAACAAAGGAGATGTTGTCATGACCAAATAATGGAGGCCTAAAACTAGCCATGGATAAAAAGAACTGATAAGTTTACAAGGAGTTATAGTTTTCATATGTGAGGCATCGTGGTGAAATCGGACACTCATCAAAAGAATTAAATCAAAGAAATCGTCAATTTTTGGCTGATGGGAAATTTTTTTTAAAATGTTTGGTTTTGGTTCAACACCTTTTATGTCCATTTAAAAACACATTTTTAGGAGGATTTCACTGAAAAACATTGATTAAAGGCACTTTACTTTTCTGATGCGGGTGATTAAAGGGAAAAAAATGAAAATTTTCAGTTTTCAAGGACTCTCAGGCTATGGAAGTTACCAAAGTTTGGAGGCCAATTTCTTACTAATTTTACCTCTGAAACCGGGTGACCCTGACCTCCATCAATTGGAAATATTAATTTCTACTTCTATTCTATGTAGATGGATATTTTTTCCACCAAAAGGAAGGCAAATGAACAGGCTTTAAGATGATACTAATTACCTCATACGCCCAAAAATTGATGAGCGCCTGATTCCAACATGTCGTGACACATATCTTTTTTTGGTCCAAAAATGCTACTTTTACAAATGAAGAACACAGATTTTCATAGGCCTGAGAACAAAATTGATAAAACCTGCTAGTGAGAACATGACAAGATCAGAAAAAAAATCTAAGAATATCAAGAGGGAAAAAATGTTCACATAAATGAAACTACAAATTTAAAACAGCCTACAGTACAGTGATAACAGCTCATCTCCAACAAAGACTGAAGCTACATGAGTTCAGATAAAAGTGAACCCGATAAACTAATAAATAATCATTTGGTAGGCCTACCCTATTTGTATTCTTTAGATGTCTGTAAAGTATTAGTTAAAAGTTCTGGAATGTGTAGGCCTAAAGGTGAGCAGAGTTGCAATGTGTCTCTCAGGCTGAATCTAGAAATTTAATAATCTCTGAGGATTGACTCAGAGACCTGCCATAAAAGACGCTTTAAAAAAAAGGTGTGAGCTCTCACGAACTGTAAATGTTGCTAAATAGTCTTTAAGAAGCTTGAAAATCACCTTTTTTTAAATTGGTCGCTTTTAAGGACAAGTGGGCTAACCCAGATTTCGGGGGTTTCCAGAAATCTTGACCTACACCAAAAGTGGGCATTGCCCTACCTATAGGAGAAGTTTGGTTTCATTGATGTGTATATTTAGTTGGTTGTAGAGAAAACTCTCCTTGTCTTTTAAAGAAAGTGAGCAAGGGTCCAAAAACGTTGCATTTGGTTTTCTCAAAACATCATTTTTTCGGGATAGCTCCCTTGAGCGTAAAAGCGACCAATTGTCCTACATTGTAGCCAATGATAACTAATCACCTGAAAAATTGTATGACACACATGTATAGGCAAATAATAAGTAAATATCTCCTCTCAATTAAGTCACATGAGTGATGGATCAGACTGGGGTTGCTTTCGCAGTGATATTAATTCAAATAATAAGGATCTTCTTATGTCTCCAAACTGGAATAATGTATAGTAGAGTAAATCACTGGAATGATGAAATCACTGAATAAAACATATATAACAAAACTGTTCAAAGTACCAAAAGTCCACTCAAATTCAAAACTACGACAGTAAAACTCAATAGTCACAGTTGGAAGAAACTAAATGAACATCAATCCCATTATATAGGGAAACTCAAAGGGGGAAAAGGGGGAGTCAAACATGAACAAGAAAAATTAGATGCAAGACATAATCACCTTTAGTAGCTATGATGGTGAAGAGAATGAAAAGACTGCAAAATTTGTCAAACTCAATTAAAACTAATTCCTAGTTCAAGCAAAGCTTTATAAAAAGATAAGGCAAAAAGGTGAATGAATAATATCACTTCCAGAAGCACAATTCCTTTGCTCAGTATTAGTGCTACAACTACAATTCACTAAAAACCTCTTCAGGTGCTTATTTCCCATACCAGTACAGTGTAAGTTAAGTTACAAAATACATTTTTTATTGCCTTAAGTACGAGTATAATTTTTCCTTCGGTGCCATAAAAATGTGATATATTATATGGTATTTATCTTTGTTGAGAAAACAACAAATAACAACTGATAACAACAAATAACAACTGACTACCTTAAAACCAAGTAAAAGTAACTAAATTCAGACGTTTGAGTTGATATTTGTCGTTATTTTGTTGGTATGAGTTGCTTTCAGTTGTTATTTTTTGTTATCAGTTGTTGATAACATTTGACTGATAACAACAAATAACAACTGATAACAGGAAAAAAATAACTGACAACACACAAATGCTTTGATTCCAGCCTCAAAAATCAATATTCATGTGGTCAACCAGGCCTCTACTTTATGTGCACAACTCTGAGGAACTACCAGAAGTAGAATATTCTTTAGAGATGACCGGAGTTGCGTCCCTTTTTTTGGTTAACATTCAAATCGAAAGTAAAATCGAAAGTAACAATTCATCGAAAAAAACAACTGAATGAGGATGTTTGTATTGATATTTGTTTTTTTATTTGTTGTTATCTCGACAAAGACAAATACCCTATATTATATCATACCCACATATTTTGCGGATAGCAAAGGGTGCATATATTTTGGTTTTTCTTACAAAAGATACTTTAAAAATATAACTGGCTTGTAGTACTTTAGTTATCAATATGACACAAAAGAATATAATACTTTCCTTTAAATCATTATCTTACTTCTTAATCAAAGTTTCACAATATAAAAAAGCTCCAACAAACAACCTCTATATACTTATATAAATTTTAGATACTTTAAATACTTTGCTTCGAGGATTTCTTCACACATTTTATTTTCATAGCTGTAGGGATTCATGGTATGAAAAAAATGGACAGTTCTGAACATAACTTGGTCTTCACTTTTGCATAGCATATCACATGTTGCATTGCACTGAGAGAATAAACGACTGCTGTACAAATAGCCTACTATGAGCAATGTTATTTCAATTGAATCATGAAAATATATAGATTGTCTTCTACGTACAAAATAATCAGTATCCAAAGAAGTCCAAAGAAGTGATACTTCTTAGGCACTTGATAAAAGAATTTGCCTTCTCCAAAGTTGACAAAATTTTCACTCTTCTTTGACCGAGACAAGATGCAAGAAAGTTATTTGGAAAGTTCCCAAAATTATACGCACTGACCACAGTCAATTCAAAAAAATTAAAACTATCTAAATTATATTTCCAAAGCCTGTATGGGAAAGTATAGAGGCAAAAGGGAGACACGGGTACCAGTGGGGAGATACCTCACATTCAGAGCTGTTAAAATTTTCAAAAATGTATGACTTTTTTTTTCACACTCAACAGGCAAATGAGAATACACAAGGTATGGTCTTTGCATTTTGGTTCTGAAATTTATTACAAGTTGTAGTTTAGTTCTAGAAAGAGTTTTACGGCACTTACAACACAATAAGGTCATATAAGTGCCGAAGATTAGACGTGTTACAAGAGAGTAACAAACACAAAAAAGGAGGAGAGAGAAGGACCATATTTTTTTTTTAGGAAAGAAGGACCAAACCACACCAGAGCAAGTTGTAGTTTGTTTGAAACATTTGTAAAAACTATTTTAAATACACAAACATATAGTGGAAAAATGCATGACGCAAGAATATTTATATTTAAAATATAAAAAAAACAACTCTTACCCTCTTCACTTTTTCCTTTAGACTGAGGAATAGAAGAGAAAAAACAACCAAAAAACAATATAACATGAGAAATCATTCTATGATTTTTTGTATTTGGGTCACGACAAGGACAATCAGGCACTCATCTATATTTTGGCATTTGGAATTATTGGTATCTTCTTAAAGTTTGTTCCTTTGTTTATTGTTTATTTAAAAATTATCTATCTGTCTTGAATAGAAGTCAAAATATTTGCAATTGAAGGAGGCAGGGGGTTGCTTGATTTCATATATTAAAGTTAGCAAGAAAATGGCCACCAAAGTTTGGTGACTTCCATAGCTTGAGAGTCCTTGAAAACTAAAAAGTTACATTTTCTGTGCCTTTTATTAAGATTTTCAGTAAATTCCATACAGAAATTTGTTTTTAAATGGACAGAAAAAAGTGTTGATCCAACAGTAAAAAAAATTCAGTACAAATTGCCATATTTGAGGAAAAATGCCGGTATTTTAAAAATATTATTCTGACAAGTGCCTTATTTCACCATAATGCTTCACGTTTAATTGAATTAGATGATTGTCTGCATTGAAATAAATACCACTGAACCTGCTTTAGCTGTCACCTTTCTATAGCAGTCACCTGTGCTAATGGTCACTGTTTCATGACACCACACCCTTACATTTTTCTAATATTTCTAACCTGTCCATAGTGGTCCCTGTCAGAGTCATATTCAGTCAATATGAGACAAGTCATTTTCAAAATCTACTCATAGAGGTCATGCTTGCTACAAAAGCTTTCTGCCACCCTGTTCTCAGCCTGAATGAGTATGTTCAATAAATAAAAAGAAGCTTTAATGATAGATTACAAATTATTTTGATGAAAATAAAATGGAAAGATAAAACTTAGATTTCTGTTTTCGAACCATTTGTTGACTTTGTTAAGTCTACTAAGTGATCATAACTTAGACCCAGTCCTTAGAGGCCACCTGTTTTCTAAAAGTCACTGTTCTCTGTAATCTTGAATAACCATTACACCCTATGGACAGGTTCAAATGTTCATCAAAATAATGATTACTATGTAGGTGCTTAAACTGTTCCACAAAGAACTGCCTTTACCACAATTGTACTATCAAACACTAATGATTAGAAATGTGTAATGCAATACCAGTGATCTGTAGAAAAAGCTCTAAATAAGGGCTAATCACTCAGGTCTCATCATTAATTTCTAAACAGACATGACCCAGCACTTCATAAAAGGTAATCTGTCATTTTGGCTTTTGATTATTAATTTGTAAAATTTCTAATCCTACATATAAAAATAAGAATGTAGTGAAAATTTCTCAAAAGTTCACCTGATTTGTCACAAGTTGATAATATATTCCTTGTTTGGCCATCAAATCATTATGAGTTCCTTTTTCAACAACAGTTCCCTTGTCAAAGCCACAGATGATATCTGCAGTTTTGATGGTTGACAGCCGATGAGCAATAACAAGAGTTGTTCTTCCTTCACGAGCCTAGCAATAAAATAAAACAGAACACACAAAAATTGGGTTAGTTACCATTTCCAATAAACAATTTTGAAATTTTTTATGTCATAGAAATAAAACACAATGTACGAAAGGCTCTCTGTAGTAAATGAAAAAGGTTCAGATAAACTCCACAAAAACAAAATAGCTTTCACTTTCTTTTAGGATATTTTACAATGAACAAAGCATCCCTTGATAGCTTACCATTTTAGCTCTTATGATAAAATATGGATTCATGAATCTGTATAATTTGCCTATTTTATTTTATTTTTTAAATTCTAAGCTACAAAACTTAGGAATTACAGTTTATTATTTTTGTTCCATTGCACACTATATAAAAATAGTAATTTCAAATTTAAAAATTAAGTCATTCTATACCTGCACTGAGCATGATAAAAGCTTCAAGTACCCAGATTTTTCAAAAAAGAAGACATTTTTGTGGAGGTCTATTGCTTGTTGATGAATTTTCTCTGCAGTCTACACTATTACTTCTTCTTTGCTGGCTTGCTGTCTTGAAAATCAACAGCAGTGATTTTAAATATAGGCTATTGTTCTTGGGATAACTCAAACAATGAAATAACAACCCTTTCAGCCCTGACCTCCTGAGCCTACCATGTCCCTCTGCCTGAGCTCCTGAGCGATACATTACTGACATTCATTTGATTTTCAGAATCGCATTTCATATCCGACTCCGTGTAGTCCTTGTCATTACCAGCATCTAATTCAGAAAAATCTTCAAAGTAATCCGTAACATCCTGTGTAGTCAACACATTTCCAGTGCCCTTTTTGTCCCTGGCAGGACCGTTTGGGGATAGGGTCTCGCTCACCAGTGTTCTGGGAGGCTAGGCATATGGGCAGTTTTATGCACCACTGGTGTACCAATGGCTAGAGCTCAAAGAGTCAACCATCTCTGTTAAAAATATTGCCATTCCAAACGCTGTGAGCCCTCATTAACACAATTGAAATCATTTTGTTGGGGGGGCTGCTTCTACCCTGCCTGTTAGAGCCAACCCAGACTGAAAGAGATACACCATCCAAGCAAACAGACTGAGGTGCTCAATTACAGAAAAAAACTTCCTCATTTTGAAATTAAGCTCACTTCAGCTGTGTTCAAAGCTGAAGAGTGTAATTATTACACCATAGTAATCTTCATTGTTATCATCATGCAAATTTTTTACAGATTCAAAAATCAAAACTCCTTTATAACGTTTCCATTAATTTTTTTATTTTTTTAATGGGGGGGGGGGGGGGGCTTTCTTTGACCACCTAAACTGCTTAGATATTCAAATTGGTACAAGGAGGCAAAGGAAGAAAAAAAAATGTTCTGATGAAAACCAAAACATAATCTAAACCTTGTCTAATGCATCCTGCACAATGGATTCACTCTCAGTGTCAAGTGCTGAGGTAGCCTCATCCAACAGAAGGATCTTGGGGTTCCTCACGAGGGCTCTTGCAATAGCAACTCGCTGCTTTTGTCCACCACTGAGTTGAGCACCCCTCTCTCCAACCATAGTGTCAAATTTCTGCACAATTCAAACAAAAGGTTTAATGAATAGCAACATTTTGTATGTTCACCCTCTATTCATCAATACAATCTTGGCCACAACAAAACAAGTGCAAACACATTCCTTTACAAAATGAAGAAGAGATATTTTAAAAATATATTGAAAAAAATGTTAAAGCTCATGCAATATGTGAAATATTAAAATGTAGAACATTTGTGAATACAAGTATACTGTAACACAAAACGGTAAAGTGCAAAAGTGCCTCATAGAGGTTGTGCGGTAGTCTTACTTGGGGAAGGTTCATGATGAAGTCATAAGCGTTAGCATTCTTGGCAGCCTGGATGATTTCTTCCATTGTGACGTCTTCTCGTCCATACCGAATGTTTTCTGCTATGGTTGTTGCAAACAGCACAGGTTCTTGACTCACAAGTCCAATGTTGCGACGCAACCACTTGATGTTTAGGTCTTTAATGTCCTTGCCATCCAAAAAAACCTGCAAGTGTGAGGGTGAGTATAAGCTCTGAATTGAGTTTTCTCGGTTTAGGAAAAAAAAAGTTCTTTTTAGCCTTATAGACCTCTTGAATCTTAACAGTTGTAATAAACTTAGATCATACTCTGACCAGAAGCAAGGACATCATTTTAAATTGTCACCAAAAAAAAATGACCATAACAGTGTAACTGCCAATATCGAACAAACACAGCTTTAACTCATTCAGATTTGTTTAAAAAGAACATATAATATGTAATGTCTTTCAACAGTTATAATTATAGGAATATTATTGATGTCCTTGAATTCTGGTCTGTCTATAGAATCAATGTCTTTCACTGCTTCACACTTTGTGATAGCATTCATGCTTTTATACCATTCATTCACAACATGAATTTTCCCCTCTAATTGACAAGTATGTTGTTAACATTACATAATATTTGAAATGATACAAATTCCAATAATTAATAGACCTACAAACTTGTGAGTTAATAGAGAGAAATTCACACATAAATTTAATAATCCAAAAGTTTCGAAAAATTGTACAATTACATGTAGCCTACTGCCCAAACTGTCTAAGATGCCAGCCCTTGCCAAGGAGAATAGTAGCTGTCTTAAACATGTGGCTGTTGAACAGTGTCATTATAATGTAACAAAAATAACATAAGAGATAAGAGGGGAAATGGGAAAAGGCCAATAGTACAGGTGATTGTCTTTTACAGCTGGCTGTTAAAGCATCTCGACTGTATCTACTTTCTTGTTCATGTATTGAGGATGTGACAATCTATGGCAAAAATCTATAATTATTGTCTTGCATACACATCTCTGTACACAGGCCTATGTGCACAATTCAAAGTGGTACTTGAGTTTTTTGTACTTATATGTTAGCTTAACTTTATACTTTTGCAGTCTTTTTGTAGAAGCAATGAATATCAGTAGTACATCTGTCTGCTTAGGTAGTAATGTAGATGCAACTAAAGTTAGTCTATAATTATTGTGGGGTCGGTGGTCTTGTGATTAGGTTGTTGGACTTGCAACCAAAGGGTCTTGGATTCAAAGCACATCAAAGGCCTGATGCTGTGTTCTTGAGAAAGGCACTTTACAAACATTTTTCTCACTTAACTCACAAAAGGTACCCAGCTGTAGAAAGTGAGAGATCTTGTCAGTTTGTTAGTGTTTGAATGCTTAATCGGCTTAATCGATGGCTTCCACTGTATGCTTACCAGAGGCCAAGAATGTTTCTGATTGTTATAGGGTCTGCTAGGGTAATAAAATAGATTGTAAAACAAATAGAGCTTGACCTTGAGTAAGGATAAGCACTATACAAATGTAATTTATTATTGCTATTAATTAACTTTATCTGAATTCACTCACTTGTCCTTTCAGAGGGTCGTAAAAGCGCAGCAACAGTTGGACAGTTGTGCTCTTTCCACATCCACTAGCTCCAACTAGGGCCACTGTTTGTCCAGGTAAAGCTTCCAAGTTCATACCATCCAACACCTGGGAACAGAAACAGATGTATCAATCACTGAGGTCATGACATGAGCTCTGATGGCTATCTAAATCTGCCTTCCAGAGCTATCTAATGTTGAACTATTATGTCTCATGTATCTAAACTAGGTGATAATAGATCTTAACCAAGTGAGCTTCCTAAAACAGTTGTTTTCTTTTACCTGTTTCGTATCATCCAGTCTCTTTGTTCTCTTTTGTGTCATTTGATGTCATATCACATATATGCCACTATCCGAAAATCATGTTACAGTGTAATATGTGCCTGTGATGCATATACTTTGGTGATCCATCTATGCAGTCTCCATTATTTTCAGGCTTACTTTTGAGCCTATCAAAGCTCCAGTGTGGCTGTTTTGATAAATTTCTTTGCTGACTCCTGTTTCAACCTGTGATTTTTGCATCTACACTTGTGCTGAAGCTGCTACTCACTGTAAAGGTTAACAAAACTTAAATATGATTTTAGATATTGTTTTACAGGCCCATTGAGAAGGCTTGCTCGGTTTTACCATCACTGAAAGTTAAGTCTGAGCTGTGTAAAGAAAAAAAGATTTCCACGATTCACCTTGATTCCATTGAGGAAATACAATGCTTACCGTGACATCTGGACGAGATGGATATGCAAAGTTAATGTTACGAAACTGGATAGTTCCCCTGACAGAAGAAAGCTTCTCTCCCTCATCTGAACTGCTGTCTATAGCAGATTTCTGTTGAAATAAATCAAATAATTTACAAAGGATTATAAAAAAGAATCAAAGTATCATAATATGAGCTAAACAAAGATATGAAGGTTCAGATCAAAATCATGTAAAAGATCTGCTGCATCAAGAAATCACCCTGCATATCAATAATAGTAAAAGCAAATTCAAAATCAAGTAAAAGTAGCTTGAACTGAGTATCGAAGTGAAAAATTCAACAAAAAAGAGTAAAAAACCAAGCATCTTTACATTAGTGCGTAGAGCTGAAGTACTGTGATAATCATTACACATCTTTTTATACAGCTATTCATTAACTCTGCAGTTTATTTTTAATGAATTCTTTGTTTATTAGAAGCAATAAAACATTGGTGAGTTAATTCAGAAAAAAAACCTGTTTCATCAAAACTTAAGAGAAACAGTTTGTCCAATATCATTGCAATGACACACGTCCGAAGAAAGATTAAAATTATTGGAACTATTCTTCTTTCACATTGACATAATTGGAGACACATACCAAATCAATGAGGTTGAACACTGTGTAAGCTGCACCCCTGGCCGTGGCAAGCGACTGAATATTTGGAGCTGCATTTCCCAGGGAGAAAGCACCTATCAGAACGCTGAAAAATACCTGAGATAAAGTAGAATAATACATTTAGTCAATGATTTCATCGTTTACTAGAAAATATTCATTCATGAAAACAAGAAAGAGATTCACTCCAACAGGGAAGTTTAAATCTCAATCTTCATTGGCAATATTACAATATTTGTCCAAGTAAACAGACAGCCTATAACTGATAGAGACCTACTTACATATTAAGCCTGTAATTAAATAATGTAAAAGAAGTAGTCCCATTTATTTACGTTGAAAACAAAAAAACCCTAGGTAACACAACAATTATTACTATGTCTAACATGTATATCATAACAGTCAGGTTGATCCCATTTGGAAGAGTTATATGGCTAGAGTTGGGACAGGCTCGTTAATTCAGCATCTGCGAATAACGAACGGTTCGCTGGCACTACTCACAATCGAGTGGATGGGTAACGAGCCGTCCACTTGTGAAGAGTAGTTCGCTACTCACTACACATCAGACCCGGAGACAACTGTTGAGTTAGCGATTGGGCGGACAGGCGGATGGAGTGACTCCTTCAATTGCATACTACGTACACCCCTCCCCAAAAATCAAAAACAAAAACTGAACAAACAAAAAAAAACGAACAAATAAAATAAAAGAATTTTAATATGATTTAAAAAATCCCCCTCCCCCTCACATTGTAGCTAGGCGTTCATGGTGGAAATTTTTCTACCCCCTCCGCCCCATAAAAAATCCTTTGGTCGGGAATTCTTTAAACTTTGCCTTCGAGATAAATTAGAACGTACACAGTTTTGACCCCACATGGGGTGAAAGGTTACACACTTAGTACTACGTCACCAGCCTCTTTCACTCCCTGTGGCACAGCTCATGGTTTGAAACATCAGGCCTAATTAGCAAACAATTGACGACGGGCCTGATGTCACGTCAAGTATTTCGTCTGTTGAGGTCCGCCCGTTTGCCTACCCGCTCAGTGAATAAAATTGTGGAGCGGACCCAAAAAACGAACTGACTTGAGGTTCGCAGTCCGCTCGCTGAGGGAGTAAAATTGGGGAGCGGACACAAAAAACAAACTGTTTTGAGTCTCGCAGTCCGCTCACATGGCTGTCCGTTACCCGCTCGCTCTGACTGAGTCCGTGAGTAACGAACCAGTCCGTCTGCTTGCCCCAACTTTAGTTATGGCACATTTTGTAATACAGTACAATAATTAGTAGGTAATTTACAGTTTTTCAAAGTAAAAGAACAACATAACTTATCACAAAAACATTGAACTCTTATGAAAGGTTCAGAGCAAGAGAACATTGACAGCAAGGACAACACTCTAGTTTTTATAGGTCTCTCAACAGGCTTCATCCCTGTTCCTGTATCTGCAAGAAAGTGTGTGTACAAGCGTGCATTTGTATGTATGTGAGTGTATGTGTGTGTGTGTGTGTGTGTTGTGTGTGTGTGTGTGTGTGTGTGTGTGTGTGTGCAGGTGTGTGTTTGTCCATGTGTGGGCCGAGTGTGAGGGTTTGTGGAGGGAAGAGTTGAGGTGGAAAGTTCACCTTTGAAATCTTATTTCAACAAACTTTACAGTAGCTCACATAACATGTAATAAGGATTTTAGCATGTTCTACACAATTTATCTCTCATCTTGCCTGTAACTACTCTTTTTAGGTCCCTTTCTTTTGCTGATGAAAAAATATGAATTAAATATTGCATAGCCTAAAAAAAACTACTAAACTTTTTTTCATCAGACAGTCAAGAAAAGTAGTAAGGGGTGTTTTTGATTGATATTATGAAAATGTTGGATGAAACAAACTCAAAGCATGGAGTCCAGAGCTGATGATTGTGAGCTTTTACTTTCCTATTATAACTAGATAAGTAATAACAAATACAAGGAGAGAGAAAAATACTCACGATAATCATGTTGCTGACATCATAGTCGCTATCCTCTCGAACGAGTTTTCCTCCATACCAAAATCCCAAAGCATAACAGCCCATGATGACAAACCAGATGATGCCCATAGATGCTCCATTAGTGAATCCTTTTTTCACACCAAAGGCCTCTGCTTCACTGAGGTTACCAGCATAACTGAGAGAATATCAGCATAGTTTAGTATTAACAACTAAACATAATTTGGGCCAGGTTCCTTAAAAAAAATTTCTTCCCAATGAATGACGTAGTTCTTTGTCAAAAAGCTCATATGGACAAAATAATCAGCTTTAAAAATGAAAATGTTAACAAAGCAAATCAAATAAACTATTCAATTTGAGAGAAAAAAGTAAAGTACAGCATTATTACAAAAGCTCCAAAAGTTTCTAAGCATTTAATTGATTTCTAAGTTGTAAACAAAATTCTGCAATATGATTATTTTAGCTGATAAAAGGGAAATAAAAAATTATGTACATTACAGTATTTGACACCCCTGGCTCAACATGAATGCAATCAAGTAAAAAACAGGTTTGTGCTTTAATTTTGCAGATCAGAATGTTTTCACTTGAGAGCAAAGGTGAGGATGAACAACACTTCGCACTGTTTCCTGAGTTCAACTTTGACACAGACTCAATACTGAACACACAATGCTAATATTTAATTTAAGTCTGGTATTAGCTATGAGCCAGTTCACAATGGCATCAAATTAAAATACCTGAGTAATAAACAAATAAAGCCCATTCCTGGCAATTATTAGTACAATTTCAATAATAATCTGGAATTTCATTTTCAGCACATTTAAATGCAGTGAACATCCCTTACTCTAACATTTTCCTGAAACTGACATAAAATCTTAACAATAAAAGAGATGGCACACAAACCGTTCTGACTCTTTCTCTTGTCCTCCAAATGCCACGACTGTCCTGATTGCACCAAACACTTCCTCAGCAACAGCACCTGCTTTGGCGTAGGCCTCCAGCTCTTTCGCCGTCATTGAAGCCGCAAGCTTTAACAGAAAAATTGCAAAATATCATAATGTCTCCAAGGACACATACCCCCAAGACCATATCCGCCCCTTTGGATGTTTAAAGAGCATACCATATCAGTCCAGACGATTTTATGGCAAATATGTTTACATTTTCCTATTCATTGACTCATAAAAGTGGCTAATCACTTTACTGCACGCAGATTCAAATGACTTCATTTTTCAACAGGGTGGAGCTCCGCCTCATTGGCGCTTCTGGGGTTGAGCTTATCAGAATTAAAATGTGCCTCAGATGTGGATTGGTAGGAGGGGTGCAAAAGACGTCGCTCTCAACAGTTGGCCTGCCAAATCTTCGGACCTCATTGTGTGTGATTTGTTAATCTTTTTGGTGGGGGTATGTTAAAGACAAGGTATATGTTCCAACACTTTCAGCAAATATCAATGACATGAAAGATAATAAAACCCAGCTATCATCAACACAGCGGCCTGAGACACTCTGAGGCGCATCTGGGACAAATTCTAATATGGGCTTGATGTTTTCCGTGCAGATGGTGGTGGCCACATTGAGATTTGAAATATTGTGTGATGATTTTGGTTTATTCTTATTTAATCCCCCTGTATATTTGATGATGAAGCTAAGAGAAAATAAGTGTATAACTTTAAACTTTCCACACAATAATATGTGTTTTCAAACCCTGCTTCCCACAAAGTAACTTATGTGTCATGCAATGCACATTCCAAGACAGCCACACTATTTGAGGTGGTTGTTTTACTCTAATCTTGCTCTCGTTGCTGAAGAAAGCATCATAAGTGTGCTTCAAATGTATTAATTTCTCTTTTTACGTATCACCCTACTCAGCAGGCATCTGTGAAATAGTGTTACTACCAAATATGGTAACTAGATCTAATTGTTAAAAAGGAGCTAAAAATTAGCTCAGAACTATACTTTTTAATTCATGAAAAACTCTCTGCATTGATATACATTTTTTTTCTTATCAAACAGAGAAATGACTATGGATTGAATTGACATGATGGAAAAATATATTCTTAACTAGATCCTTCGTAAGCAGAACTCTTTTTTATTGACCTGTACCTCTGTTTACTGAGCAAATAAACTGAGAAAGAAGTTACCTTGCTGAACAATCCTGCAGCCCCTGCTAAAAATGGACTGACTGCTAAGATGACTAGTGTGAGCTTCCACCCATACACAAAGCCAATGACAAATCCAGCAACAAAAGAAGAAAACCATTGAAGGAAAGATCCGACTTTGTCACCAATTCCATCTTGGATCTTGGTCACATCACTGCATAGAAAAAAATTCAGCAGATAGCAAATAAAATTACATGTTTACCATGTGTGTGGTGTGCTGTGAAAACAAGGCATGTCTGTAATTTTATAATTCTAATGGGCGCTGATAAATGAAAGCTGAAAGTTAATGCTGGAGATATATTCATATTGGGTGCGTATTGGTGAAAAATCATCAATTTTAAGCTGACGCTTAAATTACTCATCAAACAGACATATTGACAAATTTGTATTGTCTGTTGAAGATTATTTTATTGCATTTACATTTTGATTCTATTACAACTTACACGTACCACACATCACATCATTATATTTACTGCATAAAGCATTCATACTTGCTCAGGTTGGCATTCTTTTATGTAAACAGGTTAAATAGAGCTGAATTTATGAGGACTTTGGGATGGATAGATCAGTGGAAAATTGGATGACAATACTGGCTCTGTGTGACGTCAGGGGACATGACACTTATTATTATTATGGGACAGTATAATTAAGGGAGTAGAGCGCCTTTGGATGACGTCACATTTAGAAGTGGGAAATAGGCAGACGACGTCTGCTAGAGACTGAAGGAGGATTAGTCGGAGCACAGGACGATGAGAAGACAACATCAATCCTGGACAGGGGCCCCCTCCCAGACCAAGACCCTGGGACCGCCAGGTAACTTTACAGCTCTGTACAAACATGGAATAGCGTCGGTGGCCTAGTGGTTACGCTACCGAACTCATAATCGTGAGATTGCGTGTTCGGGGTTTGAGCCGCTGGCCCGATGTTGTGTCCTTAGGAAAAGCACTTTACACAAATTTTCCTCACTTCACACCGGAGAGAATGGGTACCCGGCCATAAACAGTGAAAGATCTTGTCAGTATGTTAGTGTTTTAGTGCCTATAAATGGCTGCTTGCGCTGTATGCTACCCAGGAAGTTGAGGTTGTTTCAGAATGCTCTGAAGTCTGCTGGGGTAATAGTATAGATTGTGAAGCGCATAGAGCTTGCTGTTGAGCGGGGATTTGCACTATAAAAATGTTATCTTTTATTATTATTTAATAGCCTCCCATTAGAAATTACACAAATGAAACAAGCAGAAAACTTGACATGTCAAACTACACGACGTACTCACTCAGCTAGTCTTGTGTTCAGCTCAGCAGCTTCGTGTGTGTCATACCACCCAATGTCTTGTCTCAGGACATTTTTCAGAAACTCCTGACGAATTCTGTGGGCCTGTCGCTCTGCAGCCGCCATCCACATTGCCACTTGAAGATATGCTGTCAACATCACACCACCTCCAATTACTGTGGAATGCAAAGCACAACATTCTATATATAACAATATATTCAATCTTTAACAACAAATGTCAGTTACACAGTTGAAATAAAACATGCCAAGCTCAAAGACATTTATTATTAGGTCGCTGTTAAATATCTCTGACTGCTAAGCAATACCTGGTTGGTTCTATCTCTAGACCACAACACCCCCCCCCCAAAAAAAAAAAAAGCAAAAATACAATTAAAAATTTTTTTTAAATTTACATTCATTAAAAAATAATCAATTTTTAGTGGTAAAACACTTTTCAACTGTACCTGCAAAAGGTTGAGTATTTTCATCATTTATTCAAAATGCACATTGGTACCACTACTGAGTACTTTTCTCTTATGTATATTTGGGTGCCAGGAATATGTAATGATTGACAACCTTCACACCAGAGGAGAGTGGCATGAGGGAGGACACTTAGTTTCAATATGAGTCATATATATGAGGAAAGGTGTGCAATCAAATGACTTCGTTTCCACTGAGCAAGACGCAATAAGAACTTCGACATTTTTTAAATTTAGTTCTATTCTTATCCTCACATGCTCAAAATGTTATGTACCTTTGGGATAAAATGTAACAGCAGCAAAAAGAATGCAAGTATGCTTCTTTAATAATTTGAGATAAATATTTACAATTATACCAGAGCTGTGCCACTTTGCCCAAACCCCCACCCCCCACTATGTATGTCTTTGAAACTTTTAGACACATTAATTCTTATTGATTTTCAAAGGTAACAACTTAGTCAAAGCTAAAAAAAGTGATATCTTCTTTTGTTCACACTTTCTGTTTGTTTTACTTTTCCAGGGACCCCAATACATGTTAAGCTTTCAACTAAATAGGCAAGATCTCTCTCTACACCTAAGAAGTTGTCATCACATCTCTCAAGTACATAACCCTGTTTAGCTGGAGTTTGAGATAAGAAGCAGCAGATCACTCTGTGATGAGTAAAAGAGACTTCAAATTCATTGAATGTCAGAATAATGATTTCAGCTAAGTCAAAAAGTCAAGCTCTTTCAGAATATGTTGAGATGTTTTAGAAATTGTGTTCCATCACCACTTGTTTTTTGTCTCCTGGAAGAGCAGTTGATGATATTGAACAATTTACATCATGAACTTGCTCATGCAAATATGATATACTTAACTAGACAGTACTGTTATTAGTGAAGGCTTAAAACCAGGTGACAGAAGCAAAAATGAAGCACCCTTATACGAGGGGCATACCAAAAGTTTTTTACCTGGCCATGGAAGAATAAAGGTAGTAAGCTGAAATTTGGGGTGAAAGCCAACAATCATCTTTCTAGAATGCTTGTACATTTTAGGAAATTTCAGATTACTGGTTTTACCACCAGCACACTGTAAGTGAATGAGGGTATTTTGTTCACCAGTTTTAACATAAAAATGGAGAAAATTGAGCGCAGGGCAGTAATGAAGTACTAATTGTTCTTACAAGGCAAGCAACTACAGAATATTTTTACGGAGATGCATGTCGTATATGGAACTGATTGGCCATCTTATGCTGTGATAACATTTTGGTGTAAAAAAGGTGATAATGAGGTAAAAAAAGGCTGGTTTTCTGACATATAGAGAGGGTCCTCTATTTTCAAGGTCTTGCACAGATGACAAACATGTATAACGCTGGGAGGCGACTACAAAAAAAGAATAAGCTTAGTACCAAATATTAGCTTTCTACCTTTTTTACTTCATTTCAAGGTCAGGAAAAAAACTTTTGGTATGCCCCTCGTACATTGGATACTAGGGGCGACATATATTAAAGGAAGAGGCTAGCCGTACTTAATGACGGCTAGACTGGCAGTCTAGCCGTACTTATTCTTAATATGATGGCTAGACTGACCATTTAACAAAAAATAGGCCTACTGAATTGTAAATATACTTTTTTAGTGTGCAGTACCTAAAGTATTTGTATTTGAGACGAAACCAGGTGCCTAAATGACAGTGCATGTATTTTAAACCTCCTGTTTTCTAATGTTAATAGGGCCTAAGATAAGTACGGCTAGACTGCCAGTCTAGCCGTACTTAAGGACGGCTAGACTGTCAGGCTAGCCGTACTTAATATTGATGGCTAAATTGTAAATGAAATTTTTAGTTTGCAATGCCTAAAGTATTTGTATTTCAGACAAAACAAAAAGGTGCCTTACTGACTTGCATGTACTTGAACCTGAATAATTACTAGATCTAGATCTAATGAGACCTGTGTACTTAACAGGCTTGAGTCGATAGGGCCAAACCTAGATCTAAGTACGGCTAGACTTGCAGTCTAGCCGTACTTAAGTACGGCTAGACTCTCAGTCTAGCCGTACTTAAGTACAGCTAGCCACTTCGTATATTAAAAGCATGATTAATTTCAACAGAAGCACTCTCAATTCCAAAACTTTTTTGGACCATCTTCCAAAATGATTTAGTAAGAAGACACTGACCAAAGGACACTAGGAATATAGATGATGCAAACAGGTGTATGGTAACCACAACTCAAAGATCAACACAACAGCTAGCAAAGAAAAGATGAGAGACAAAAGTGAGTTTAACAGATTCTCATTAGTGGGTGCTCAAAGTTTAGGATATGACTTTTAAGACAATACTTCACTCTAAAAACTGTGAGTAAAAAAGTGCAATTCTATATCTGTTCATCAAGTTTAAAGACTAAAGAACAGCTCTCTATAACAGGGCCCACAAGCAATGAACTACAAACATAAATTGTTGGTTGTATGACGGTAGGAGAAGTTAACAAACTATAAGGTAACTTACTACAGTAGTATATGGCAAACTCTGTCATTGCATCGAGGATGCCATCACTAACTGGTACATCAGCACATGTAATGTTTCCACCATAGAAATTTGACAACTCTGTGCATTTACCACTGGGGAAAGAAAGGTAAAGTATGAGTTTATTGTTCCCTTTATACTTTGACAAGCACAAAAACCAGAATTAGCCACAACCAAGTGTATATAGTGTACCAAATTAAAAAATCCTGCAAAAAGTGAAAAGCCTTGAAATGCTTCTTTCCCACCACATGCCTTTGATCCTCCAAACAGACCATTGTTTCAAAGGGAGGAAATTTGAGGTACACCCATACAAATATGCATGGTTACCGGCAGCTGATAGCAAGATACTTTAGTATGCGTGTCTGAAATCAGCATGTGTTTTATTCTCCTTACTATAGTAGAATCACAAAATAGCTATAATATTGACATCATAGCAGCCTTAGTCAGTCATCTTAACTATAGCCCTTTACTTTAAAAGTAAGTAAGGGTAATCTAAATTTTATTAGAGATTGGAAAGGATATCATGTTTTCTAGAATCTGTCTTGCTTATCATATTATTCAACATAAATGGATTACATGCACACAAACTGTGTTAGATATAGGCTAGAACTGGTTCATATGATAATACCTATTGCTTGAAAATGAAAATCTTCATTGTATATATATATATATATATATATATATATATATATATATATATATATATATATATATATATATATATATATATATATATATACACAATGTAACCTGCTTTAACAGCATCCTGTCTAAGAGAATTACCTGTATAAACGATCACTTCTCACTTCTCTGCTGACATTTTTTCGACATTATAGTAAAACTGTCTGAGATATCCACCTGTCTAACACAAACACTTTTCTCTTCAATAATGGGTGACCATCTTGGACAATTTTGACTGCATTATATAAGGAATCTACGGGGAAAATGGGCATAGTCACAAACTGGAAATTGTGAGAGTGTCAATTTTTAAAGACTGGGGACTCATAACTTAATATTTGTTTGATTGGTGGTTTATTACTATGTTTGTTGAATGGGAAATCCAATAACAATAACAAACCAAAAGTTGAACAGAAACACAGATATGAGTCAACAAGCGTTCAAAATTGATACCCTCACAATTTTCAGTTTGTGACTATTCCCGTTTTTCCCGTTCACTCCTTATATACATCGGAAAAACTGGTCAATATTTATCTTAAAAATACTTTTTCCCCATACATGGAATATAATCAGTTGACCCTTGACATGAGATCAGATGCTTCAACCCTGCTAGTCAATGCTAACCCAGACTGAATGGGACATAAGAGCAAAAACAATAAAATTAAGGTTCCCATGTGACAATCAAACTCATCTTTTTCATTTACAAGTCAAAAGACCTAAACATTATTCTACAGACTCTGATCCAATGACCTAACAATGAGTGAAATTATTCTTACGGATTCAGAATAGATACGTCCTTGAATACTTCCTCTACTGTCAATCCCGTGCTGTTCATGAAAGCCGCAATTTCATATCTCAAGAAATTTTCAAGTTTTCCTGTGTCCACAAACAAGTCAATCATTTCTCCAAAAATAACAATCATGGAGGGTAGAGCAGCTCCATTAGCGATGGCACAAATTGATCCAACAAACATCATCAATCTGTCCTTCCAGTCTGAGAACCTGAACTGTATAGTGAGACACATAAAAAGTGGGTTTCAAAAGTGCATGTAACTATTTCAAATAACTTCATTTCTAAAAACATTTAATTGATCTTCAAATGGTTAAACAGATCAGTTTAAGAAGTTTTTGATGACAACATGCAGTCTTTACAGAGTGAAACCAACAACCAATTCAAAGTATCTCAACCACCTGGCGAATTCATTGAGAAACACTTCTTTTCAATAAATTTATTGAGAGAAAGATTCGCTTTAAAATGTTAAGGAATCATACTTAGACGTCAGTTATGAACTTCTGATAATGACCCTCTCTGAAAGCTTGATGACATACCACTTCCAGAGACCCGACCATGTTGACTTTTTCATCGGCTTTCTTCTTTTTGCCATTCTCTCCATCATCAGCCGATGACCCTCCATCTTTGTCGCGGTCGATCTTCTCCGACCCCACAGCTGTGCTTGGCCTGGATGGGCCACTGCCATTTTGCTCCTCTGCGAATGAGCCAAAACAAAATGCAGTTTGAATGCATGGCAGCTCACTACGCCAGGCAACCAATAAACTTTGACAAAATATCTACATGCCACTTAGAGAACTGAACTTTATCAAAATAACTCAACAGCAAATGCTCTGATAAAATTCAAATCATATAATCAAAAATAATGCACAATTATCATCAAAGTATCAATGTTCATTTCCTACTGTGTGAGGGACTGGGAGTCAGAGGTGCGAGTTCAGATGGTGAAGAGGAAAATATTCCGAAAAGATTTCCACCTCATCATTCTATCCCTTGAAACGATCTACTGAGGTAAGGTTAATGCCTGGGGACACCAAGGGGTGTGAGGAAATTAAGAAAGACATGTAAGCAATATATATAAAAAATGTGGTGAATCTGTTATCAGATATATAATAAAGGTAGCCTACCGTTTCAAGGTTTAATATAGGTAATATATAGGCCTATATATATCCCTCCGGGGCAGTGCCACTGACTGTAGTGACTTAAGGCCATTCCCAAAGGGTGGACATTTGTAATTGTTCCAGCACAGTAGAATTTTAAATGGGCTGATTCATGTCAAGCTCATAACTATGCCTGATCTACAACAGGGAACTGCTGCTTTTTTCCCTAATCCTTACTGTTGCCATTTTCCTCTACTTCTTTTGTATGTTTGCCACTCTTGTGGCCTGCAATTTCCGGGGTGCCTTGATAGTTGAAGCAGACCTTTTGCTGTTGAAGCTAGAGAGGTGAGCAGAGTAAGTCTGATTCCCTGTAAAGACTTCTCTGTTGACACCCCTTAGCGCTCATATATGACCTTATGCAGTTGCGAGCGCCGTAAAACCCTCTACTATAATAATTAAAGCATACATACACACACACACACATATATATATATATATATATATATATATATATATATATATATATATATATATATATATATATATATATATATATATATATATATATATATTTCTGTCAACCTAAGCGACACCGACATCATCAGCACAATGATAGGCCTACGCTTTTAAAAAGGTGTTACCCCTTTTTGAAAATACATGTAATCATAATTATGTCTCCTTCGTTGGGGGTTCAAATGTGATTTCACACAACGTGTGTTGCACTTTATGAAAGACCAACGGTGCGTCTTTTTGGGGCCTCGCCCCCCCCCCCCCCCCCCCAAAAAAAAAGAAACCCAATCCGAAAACACCCCCCCCCCTCCCCAATAAAAAAAAGAAAAATTCTAATTACATGCTAATTAAGTTAATTATAATGAATCATTTTATATTAGTAAGAATGGGGTTTTTTGGGGTTTCTTTTTCAAGGGAGCCATTTGGGACGGTGAAAGGAAGGAAGATCTACCTCCTTTGATACCATACAGTACTTCCTCTTAGTCACAACATGACTAGGATCGATTGTTTCAATAAAATTCTACTTGGGCCCTTAATTCGGATCTTACTCGACCTACTTCATGCACTCATCTAAGGTCTCTAGCTCTCTGAAGTCATGCAAAAAAGACGTATTAAAACTGTATGAACGACTCAATATATCTATGCCGGGGGAGAGGGGAAGGGGCATAAGTAGATTAGTATTCTTCTTTATAATTTGCAATCCAACCTCATCCCAAATACTGAAGTCTGAACGGTAGGCTACAACAAAATAGACCTTCCATGCCACATAAACACACAGTCAGTCACACACACACACACACACACACACACACACACACACACACAAGCAAATTATAAACAAACACCCGCACATTATACACATCAAGAATAATTTATCGTTCTACAACACACATTAGCTTTGACACGGACGAGACACTGTACACTTGGCCTAGGCCCACGAAGACAAAGCAAATACGTTTTTACAGTCGGGGAGCGATCAGTGAAAGATATCTGCATTCAAAGTGAGAAGTACGTAGACCAGGGACTAGTAGATTTGACTGATTTTGATTAATCTATTAATTAATTAATTAATTAGTTCATCAGTAACCCCCTCCCCCCTGAAAATGTCGTTTCTCGAACGGCTATAGGGCCTAATTTTAAAAACAAAAGAACTTGTAGGTTCAAGGGTTAATAGCAATCAATGTTTAGAACAACAAGAAAACAAGAAATGCATTTCTACAATGAAAGACATGTCCCAATATCCCCCATAAACCTTTCTAAGAAACTGCAATCGAAGAAACTACAGTAAACGCACTGGGCCAACTCACTTCCGAGAGAAATAAGCTTATTATGTTTATATAGATCTAGGCCTACTTTTTTGGTAATCATCTCATAAATAATAAAGAAAACATATTGTGAATTGAATTGTCAATCACCTCTGACTACTCGACTCAGTCTTTGTTACCAAAGTAGGCCTACTTTTCCTTCAGAGTTTGACCCCCACCCCCCACCCCCCCACAAAAACAAAAAACAGCAACAACAAACAAACAGCAACAACAACAACAACAACAACAAAAACCCATGACAAACAACAAAAATAAAAACAAAAACAACAATACAACACCACCACCCCCCAACCAAAACAACAACAAACAAACCAAACAAAAAACAACTCAAAACAAAACACACAAAAAACTGCGGTTTCCTTTAGATAATAGGCTGATACGAAAACACACAAATCAATCATAAACGGTCAATAATTTGAACCATATCACTAAGGTGAACCAGTAAGCGTGAGATAGTTTTAGTAAAGTTGAAATTGTGCGTTAGATTAAGACAAAAAACAACATAAGTTGAACAGTGCGATCAAAGTGAAAAGAAAAGACACTGAACAAATGAATTATAAGTATATAATTTTGTGTATGTGTGTGTGTGTTATGTGTGTGTGTGTTATGTGTGTGTGTGTGTGTGTGTGTGTGTACGTGTGTGTGTGTGTGTGTGTGTGTGTGTGTGTGTGTACGTGTGTGTGTGTGTGTGTGTGTGTGTGTGTGTGTGTGTGTGTGTGTGTGTGAGTGTGTGTTTAGTAAGAGTTTTACTGTGTTTGAAGGACTATGCATAAGCCTATGTATAATATGGTTGTTAATGCCGTTACAAAGAAATCAAGAAAGATAAAAATAGGGCGCCACTGCTTAAACAACGCAAGACCAACTTAATTTCGATATGCTTTAGAATTTAAATTCAATCCCATAAAGCATACCGCTCTACCACGACCTCTAACATTTTCGAAGTGCCTTGGCCAACTTGGTATTGCAGTCCAGGCTTTATGGACCCTTGAATCAACGCACTTTATCCTTCCTCTTGCATGGTTAGATGTCGAGGGAAGGTGCAATTTTCGGTTAAGTGCTAGGTGGGTGTGCTCTGTTGTTGGTATGTTATTCTTATGGGGGATCTCTCTCCCGAAATTCAGACAAGTTTTGCATGATTTGGCTCTGATCTTGTATTCTACCTCTTTTGCGTTGTAGGCGTATGTCCAGAGTAGAGAATTGTTTCCCCTAAAGCAAGTTGGCACTCCCATGCATTCATCCATCTCGTCTCATAAAGACCCAATATGTACGTCTAGTTGGTAGGCTTCCATCTCTCTTGCAACCTGCAGTGCCTTCCCTGCCTCGTACATTGTATGAACATTCCAGGTGCAAAGACAGGTGGTTCTTCTGGTCGACAGGAGGTTTCTCGGCTTGATGGTTTCCTTTCGGCTATCACCACCCAGCGTCATTCTACACTCCAGTTTCTCTCCTCTCTTCGGTGATGAAGGTCCTCCATCTTCCAGAACTGGCGGTCGTGTTGTTTTTTGCTGTTGATGGTTTTGTAGATGTTTTTGTTTTATGGGAAAGGGCTGCTAACCTTTTCCCCAACCGACCTTAGTCGCCTTCTACGACATGCACGGTACGGATACAGTGGTCCTATTCTTTGCTCCCCTGTCAGTTGGACAGGGTCCCGGGAACCACACGGGTGTTTGTTTATTTGGGGGGGGGGGGGGGTGTTCATGCGCTAAATGACGGCCATCATGACAATGTGCTTCTATTTACTCATCTGCTAATCTTGTTGTGCACTTACTTTATCCTTACAAGAGGAAGGATCACTGTTACCATAGCAAAAATTTGCCTCTCATGGTCAAGGTGAAAACGACACGTGCAATTACATGTAGATCATAATCTAAATTATCCCTCTCAAACTTCTCCATATGCTTAATAAATTGCGTCCTGGTCTTTATTTTTTTTTCCAGCTCTTTTCGTTTTGTTTGCCAATGTAGCACATGTTTTATTCATGCCATGGATCTTAATAAAGTATATATCTATAAATAACACATAGACTTGGATTAATAATTACAATATCCTAGACTGGGCACTGTCACGGCCGCCGCTTTCTCCTCTCTAAACAAAACTTTTTTGCGCTGGATCGCACCTTATATGGGCGCGCTTTGGTTGAGTGCGCGCGCAACCTTTCCTTCCCTGACCTTTTTTGGTATCCAATTGAGTCAAAATACGCTCCCTGGGGAACTGGAATTACGTAAGAGTACACGGTCTTTGATATTAAAATACAACTCTATGGAATAACCCCGTTCGTCATGAACAAATATTGAATAACATCTATTCTAAAACAGAACCAACAAAAAGAACAAACCAAAAAAAAATTACAAAAAAACAAAAAAACAACCCCAACAATACCACCACCAACAACAACAGAATATCAATTTTTAAATAAAACTCCATGCAGTGTTAGTATGACGGTGCAGGATTTTAAAATATCACATATTTAGAGGGTGGAAACGTGTCTTGCAAGTTCTGGAGATTGTGAATTCAGGATTCCATTCCAAACTGAGAGAAAAGCACACAGCAGAAAACCGCCCTTATAAGGGCAAGTTAAAACATACCAGGAGATGATAAAGGTGAAACAGAATTCCGTGAACCTTTCCTACCTAAATGACCATTTACGTAAACTTCAGCAGGGGAAACTTCACTGCCATCACCTGAAAGTTAGATTATAAATAAAACACGTATAATGACATTGTTATCTACAGCAACACAGTTTCGGTATACAGATCTGTACACATGAATGAAAGGGGAGAAAAAAACGCCGCGCGTCACAAGACTAAGAGTAAGAGTTGATTTAAAATATTGTGTTTGTCTTTCGCAGACTCATAACCCCCTTTCTTTTCTCCGAGAGTTGACGAGTTCAAAAGAGATCGCAAAGTACACGCCACGGGAGAGAACATCTTTAGAGAAACATAATTTTACAGGATAGGGTAGCAATCTTCACATAATAAATTATGTTATCGCATAATCAGGTTCCTTCGTTATCCCCTCCAAAAGAAAAAAAGAAAAAAAAAAAAAAGAAAAGCAATGGGGAAAAACAAGTGATCCACGACACACATGGCTGTTCAAATAAAATCTCTAAATATACGATACCAGAGGTACATAAATTATGCTTACCTTCATTGCGCTCTGTTTTAGAAAAAAAAATGATGTTTCGTAAAAATTCGAAGTTGAAATATCGAAAAAAAAATGAAATGGGGGACCTGTCCATGTGTCCTACTATGTTCAATATTTTCTACATGATACTCTAGGTTCAATTAGTTAATTACTAGAACTTGCACACTGAAATACGGTATGACATTCACAGTGTTAAGCCGACTTCCTTTTCCTAATTTGTACACTCAAGGTGTGAGCACAAATGATCATTCGTACACGTTCATACAGTCACCTACACAGGCATGGCAGTTTTTTACATTTTATTTCGGCAAAAAACTTCCATTACAGTTTTATTTAGATGCAAGAACAACCAGCTCGAAATTAGATCAAAACACACAAGAAGATGCAATAAACATGAATAATGGGATTGTTTGTTTTGTTTTAGTAGACGTTTTACGTCGCTCGCAACCGCATAAGGTCATATGACCACCAGAAGATTAGAAGAGAGTAGCAAACATAAAAAAGAAGAAGGGGAGATAAGGACGACATGTGTTTCATCGAAAAGAAGAAGCAAACCACACCAGAGCACCCGCCAACCACCCACACGTAGCCTACTGGGGTGTAATGTAATAACACACGCAAACACACACTTACAAGCAAGCACACACACACACACACACACACATACAAACGTTTGAACACACACACACACACACACACACACACACACACACAAGCACGCACGCACACATTAACACAATCACATGACAAAC